CAACACATTTGGCCCCTAGTTCTTTGACGTCAACTTGGTGTGTCCCGGATTTACATCCAACTGTAACATCTTGCTTGTCCCTTATGACTATACAGTTTTTTGGTTTCATCTAGGGAACAAACAAGCTGTGCAGAGTGGTTCACTCAGTCAGTCAGCCAGTGAGAAGACTTCACCTTCAGAAACAGCACCAAGCTCAAACAATGATGTGCAAGGTATGAATGTCACCCTTGTAGGTGGTCTCAGAATTTAAGTTCTTTTAAATTTGCTAATATAGATTGTAACTTGTAGATAATACAAGTCCAGTGAGAAAAGAAAACGGACAGAGCCATGACCAGGACCAAACACCGACAACTAATCTGCCACGCAAGGGCACATTCACAGATGACCTCCATCAGCTGGTTGATAACTGGGCCAGAGATGCCATGAACATGATGCCACAGGTCAAGAAAGGATCCAAAAAGAATGTTCATGAAGTACGTAACATTTACCTACACTGAACAATTTAGTTTTGATAAAGATTATCAGAGGCCCTGTTTCCACTGGGAATTAGCATGCATCTCTCTTGACCACTGGTGTTCAGATTTTATTGAGACCCTTTTACTCTTGTTTCGTGACATGGTACTCGTGTGTCACACTAGACACTTTCTTGTGTAAGTGTAGTACTAATGAATGAAAAAACCCGTTATCTGGCAGAGAGTAGGTAGTCATTACAGGCTGTTCACACATCTAATGTGTTCTCAAATTATTTTGGAAGTAGTTTAATATAGACAAGCTCAAAATACTTCGAACCCCATTTCTGCCTGTATTTAGTCATATGCACTAGTGACCAAATTGACTAAAATGCATTTCATACCTGGGACTTAAACTTAGCCATTACTATCAAGGCTGCAACCAACTAAGTTACCAAAGTGGCAATAAACATTTTAATAATAGTCCAAGCAAGTTTTGCAAGCATTCCAAGAATGAAAGGGGCCCTCAGACAATATTTACAAGACACCTTAGTTGTAGATGCCTTTCATAATGATAAAATTTGCATGCTCTTTTACATTAGTCTACACCAGTGTTCACCTAACTTGTTCCTGGAGGGTCAGTGTCCTGCAGATTTTAGCTTCAACCCTAATCAAACACACCTGAACAAGCTAGTCAAGGTCTTGCTAGGTAAACTTGAAACATCCAGGCAGGTGTGTTGAGGCAAGTTTGAGCTAAACCCTGTAGGGACACTGGGCCTCCTGGACCGAGATTGGTGACCCCTGGTCTACACCATGCAATATATTTGTTTTAAAAATAACAATTTAAATTTTTTTTTTGCCATTTATACACAACAATTGTCATGGAGACCTAAAAATCCAAACTTGTGTACAATATGGGATGAAACACCCACAAATTAAAAATCACTCTAGGGCCCAAATGAACCTTTTTGCATGGTAGCACTGGTGCTTCTAATTTAAAAAAATAGGCCCACCAGCCAAAATAACAGTGAATGGTTTAAGTTATTTTTTTATATAGCGAACTTTAACCCACTGGAAGTTTCCTATCCGCTCTTCGAAAAGTGTAAATGGTGGATTAACATGCACTACTGGATCAGTAATAAGATGTGCCATTATTTGTAACTTTAGGTGGTTTCTAAAACAAAAGCTGTCAGTGTTGTTTTCATTGTGGTTGCACATTTTAACATCTTGTGAGTTAAAAAATGTGTTGCACATTTGTGCAGCCAAACGTAAAATTGTTTAACTGATAGCATTAATCGGTTAAAAACGCACCCTTTCAGTTAACGGTTAATAGCTTATTTTGAGCATCCCTATCTCACACAGGCGAAGAATTTTAAGTTATCATAAATAGAACTGATCATATGTAATGTTTTTTATGTCCTTTTTTTACTTATCGATATACTGTATAATCTATATTGTTATTATATCTTTTTGTCTATATTGATTACCAGTCCCATACTGCTGTAAGCAGGGTTGTAAATGTGTCACAATGATCATGTGTTCCCCTAAACACAACAATGGCGGCTAAGAGTGTTGTTTTCATTCTCTCGTATCCAAACCTTTACATTTTTCACAGGTGTAGCTTCCTGTCATCTAAGTGTTTGACAGCTGATATTAACTAATCCATTTGCCTTCTGTTTTAGAGCAGTGGGCTAATAATAGCTTTAAGGCGGGGCAAGCATGGCAGAGTTTGTTTTAACCCATTCTTGAGCATTTTATGGCATTTTTTAGGTGCAAAGATGCATTCTGCTTGAATTTCTCCTACATTTGCGCATGCGGGGAACATTTTGCGTGAAAACGGTGCATGGCAACAATTTTATGCACTTGCACAAATGCTCTGAAATATATTTTGAGGTCACATACATAAAATTTGGGAAGCATATGCAACCAAAACGGATGTAATTTCGAGCCCTAGAGTCAGTAACCAATTACTTGCACATTTTTCCTACTGAGTAATTTATTACACTCCGATGTAGCTCACAAAATTGGTGTTTTATACTGACTTTAAGAGTGTGTGCACACCAAACTGTTGTGCACAACTGAAAAAGCTAGCACTCTTCCAAAAATACTCAGCTGTGGTTGCTTCCTAAAATGTCAGAGCAATTTTACAAAATACTGAGCCTAAATTGAATTCTCAGCGCCTTACCATTCTGCTGGTGTTCCAAACACTACACCGGGGTTCTTAAACTATGTTCTGGAGAGCTGGTGTCCTGCAAAGTTGTGTTCCAACCTTAGACACATCAAAGCTAGCTAATCAAGCCTTCACTTTCTAGAAACATCCTTGCAGGTGTGTTGAGGCAAGTTGGAGGGAAAATCTTCAGGACACCGGCCCTACTGCAACAGTTTGAGAACCCCTGCACTACACACTTCTTCCTTTCAGAACAACTGAAAAAATATACTCAAGAAAAAATTATATTTTGTGGACAAGCACCCTAGTAGTAGTTGTCCTGCAAACTAAATTTCACCATAATTTAAACACTGTCAACCAGTCAGGCATAAGACTCAAACTATCACTAAACGAAGCCTTCAATCTTTCTCCTCAGATGCCACGAAAATACTCCGCACCAGGTCAGCTTTGTTCCACTGGTGGCCACATCCCAGCGACCATCAACCCCACAGCTGGACGGAAGGGTTCAATAGGTGTGGCCAATCAGCAATTTGGCTACACTTGTCCCAACTACAACATGCCTCAATGGAATCAGGTGGGGACAATATCATCCACCGCTCCACCTGCAGGACTACAGCAGGGTTTCCTTATCCCATCAGGAGCCCACCAAACCGGAAATAACTGCGGATCAAGCAATCTGCGCACCACTCAGGCAAGCTGAGACAGCTGGCGAAGGGTAAAGCTGTGCCTCATGGGGTTTAGATTATCGGGCCTAGTTCTTAAAGTGGACACACTTTATCTGACAGTTTACAAAAAACTTTCAGGTCCATAAAATGTGACTCGGGTTATTTGAATCTGATCTAACCTGCTATTTAAAAGACTGAATGTGTACTTTTGATAGAGGCACGAATGGGTTAAACTGGTGTGTCTTAAAGATCCGATATATAGCCTTATAGTATGGATACCGTCCTTATTGTAATAAAGTCAGGCAGTGTAACTGGTGAAATACAGTGATGGTTTTGCAGTTTACCTACAGAAGTTCAAAAACAGATAGAGAGATGGATGGAGAGAAGACTGTGCCACCAACACAAGTTCAAGTTTAGATTTCTGGAAGGTTGGAATGTTGCATTTTAGGGAAGTGTTGGAGAGTTTGAGTTTGGCATGAAAGCAAAAGGATGTGCAATTGGAGGAAGGTAGCGCGGGGTTTTATAGCTCTTTGTACTTGCACGTATTTCATAGCATTGTTCATTCGTGACTTTTTTATTTCTTTCATTTATGATAAACTTACAATAATACAGTATATCTTATATAGACAGTCACCAGTATTCCCTGTCGACACTTGGATATGGGTGGTCATCCTGTATGCATATTTTTTCATCCTATCACTTTAAATGAAGGTAGCCTTAAAACACAGGATTGTTATGTCTTCCCCATCTTCCCCATACATATTCCAAGCAAATGTACTGCAGTTGATGAAATGGACAGGAAATATAAGATGGTGCAATTGACTGTAGTGACAGTATTAAACTACAGCACTGCATGATTTCAGGTTTTTGTTTAATTTTTATTTTGAAATATCACTCCCCCTATTTTTTTTCCTCTAAATCGTTTTCTATTCCACTATTTGAGTGCCAATCGTTTGCTGAAGTGATGTCTAATCGCCTCGGAAATGATCCGCTTGACTTCTCTAGAGAAGGTAAATGTTACTGCAATGCAGAATATGCGCCGTTTAAAGGTTTAACCGACTGGGGAGGGTTATTTGTTGCTTTTGATACTTGAGTGCTCTGTAATTGACCCAGAACCACATTTAGACACAGTGAAACTGTTAAAGTACCACTGATCACAGTCACAAGCTACTGTCACATAACTGAAATTTAGAAAACGACATGTTTTCACATTCCACTTCTCACATTTGTTCCCATAGAAGACAGCATTAATTTGTGGGGTCAAAAAAAAAAAAAGCTGCTGCAGATGTTTTCTGTCAATAATTTTCATCCAGGGTCCTTTTGGTGACTATCTATGGTTTTGTTTATCTGTCTTGTAAAAAAGTATATGTATATATATATTCAAATCTTAATAAAACCTTTTGGACATTTTCTCCTACCCCTAGAGTTTGCTTTTTTTTTTTTTTTTAATAAGGGGTTTTCCAAAACATTGTCACACACAACTTGACATTTATGTAATTCCTCATATCAGGTACCAATAAAAAAAAGCAAACATGGTGGCAATATTGTTTATTTTAAAAAAGAAATCTTAAATTACATTTTAGAAGGTTCAGCTGGAAAGAAATGGCACACATTTATTATTTTAACATATACACAAATTAATAAAACAAAATGTATTTAAAAAAAAAAAAAACTTTAAAAATCTTTAAAAAAAAAAAAAAGGCAATAAATAGCTTAATTCATCACGTGTCCAATCTTCGTTTCTTCATCATCTGGCCGTGTCTGTATGGGCTCGATGGTCCACCTTCATTAATAATTAGAACATTAGCACAGTTTGAATTTAGAAGTTAATTGCAATGGTAATTAGATGTAAAAAAAAAAAAAAAAGTTCCTTAATTTATCAATCAATCTTAATTTACACATTTATCTTTCCCTTTGAATTAAAAGCATTATGAATACACAAGATGACCAATCCAGATCAACTATTAAATTCATGACACTAGGACATAGAGAGTATTTAGATGTACTCGCACTAAGTTAACTGAACCATCGCAGAGACCTCCTAGTGGGCGGTATTACACCACAATTTAAGCTGTGGGTCACACTAGAGTTTGAGCTTGCAGAGCTGTGAAGATGGACAGGATTAAACAAGATGATTAGACATTTTAAAAAAGCAAGCAAGCGGTCCATATTTTAAATTTCTGTCCAGAGAGGTCATGTTTTGATCCTCGATTGGTCTCACGCAGTCAAGTAATGAGGTAATGTAGGGATGCTCATTTCGGTTAATTTTGCTAACCGACAACCGCCGCTCATTTATCGGTTATTAACGGTTAACTGGTCAGATTACTATTAATTTTATATTAAACAAATTGACGCGACTATTTTGTGTCCGACACATTAAATATTGCATTTTAAAATACTGATTTATTTTTATATGCTAGCATATTAATAACAGAACACAACAGGGCATTTTCACGCACCTGCAGTGTTTAGCACAGAGGAATGGAATAAACTAAATAAAATAAATAGGACTGCCCTAAATTATTTTCACTTAATTAATTTATATTACAAAACGAAAATACTGACTGATACTTTTTAATAACCGGCATAGGCTGTTTTTTTTCCAATCATATGTTTTTTTCTTCCGTCAAATTAAAACAGCTGACTTCCTCAAATTGCTCGCTCCACGGAAAATATGCATTTATTTAATGCCCCGCTGTTATTATTATAATCACAAAACCTTTTTACATTTTTAATAGAAATCATTATTTTAAAGAATATGTCCTGATATGGTTTCCTCTCTCTCCCTCGCGGTTCAAGTGTGCGCGCTGCGTGATGAAAAGACAACAACAACGTGCACATATGTTGTCTTTTTGTAAACAGTTGTGTTGTTAAATATGATATTGCATTAATGTACATACATGCTTTATAAGCTGTAAAATAAAAGGTAAAGCCTATTTGTTGCGTTTATGAAGCAGATCCAGGTCAACATCAACACGTTTTTTGGCATCAACACGTCTGTTTTAAACAGCAATATTCTTCTTCTATTTTGCGTCTTTGGCAAGTGTGTCTGTAGGCACGGGTTATACGTTATCGTCCCGCAAAGTTAAGTATGCCTTGCAGTTAAACAAGTGGCTGACTACAGCTAATGTGCTTTTTTCATTCCAAAAACGCGAGGCGCACCTCACTGCCTTTATGTTGACAAGGAAAAAAGAAGAGAAGAAGCGCGGTCCTCTTATGAAACGACTGAATCAGCTGGGTAGCGATTGTGCAAAAGTGTTGCTGTCTGTGTTGTTACAATTGTAATATTTAATAATATTGTGACATTCAAGATTTGTATATTCATCCAGCTCTGAATAACTTAAAACAGCGATTAGACCATCAGAGCGGCATTAATGCGTCCTGAAGTAAAGCGAAACGGCTATAAACTCCAACAAGATAGAGTGATTCTATGCAGAGCCATACTTTATCTATAAATAAAGTATAACTATAGAAACTGTGTTCATCTTAACTGAAAGCTTCTGCGTGTTTGCTGGGCTCACGCATTGCGCACATGTCAGTCAGTCAGCACGTAACCCCAAAGGATTAAACAGATAGCGCACAGCACTATATGGTTACAGAAAAATTTGCGCTGTTATAATACACTTACCTTTTAATACGTTTTGGTGCAATAATAATCCGCTATTAAAAACAACAACAACAATAACTGAATTTTTTGAAAGAGTAATGAAGCTCTGTAGTTGTTTTGACAACACAAACTGCTGCTTTGGGATGAGCCGCGTGCAAAAGATGCCCCTCTTAACGCAAAGGCGCATTCAATCGGCCCCTTATGCAGTCAAACTAAAAATATATAAAATAATAATTTTAATCGTTTAACTGATAGCATTAATCGGTCACAAACGCAGCCTTTCGGTTAACAGTTAATCGATTATATTGAGCATCCCTAATTTGGGCCCAAGAAAGGTAGAAAAAACTAGTGTAAATTGGGCAGAAGCACCCATGACTGTTTGACCTGTCATCTAAGCAACATTACAACCAGGTCGAAAAAAAAGGGAGAAATTGCAAATTTCCTTCAAAACACAGGTGAGGAATACAAGTACATTTTCTACCCCACTAAAGGCTTCTTTCTCATTATGTAGTTAAAAGCTAAAGAAATATTACGAGACCTCGTATTGTTTTCATGTCACACATGTGTTTGGTTGGGGGACCAAGACAAATTTTTCGACAATTCTTCCTATTGTAATGTCATGCAGTGTGAAACCCCCTGCCGCCAATCCATCCTACAGTGTACGTACAGCAGCAATGAAACACTATCCCAGATATTCATGCAGTGTAAAAACATCTGTGACACAACTACTATGAAAATCATGCAGTCGGAGTTTCGCATAAAGCAATTTCTATTGTAATGAGCGAGAGCGATCTCTTCCTGTTTAAGCTGAAGAGTTGCAAAGATTATGCGTTGGAGAAGTAGGGACAATTGTGCCCAGGCTCAGTTCAAGGCAACTGTGCCTAGTGTAAGTACACCCTTTAGCACATCTGTAGTTTTAAATTCGGAGCTGATAAATACATCGCCCTTAAAAATTTTATTGAGTCCAACATAATAATTTGGATATATATTATGACATTAAGTGAGCTGAAATTGTATTTTTTAATAACATATTTGAAATAATTGAAATATTTCAAATGTGAAACTTTGCTGCGACACGGTCTGTCTTAAAAATAAATGTAGTAAAGTAAAACTGCATTTTAAAAAAAGCCCGATTGAAAAAACAACTATTTATATTAACTAATTCTAACAGAAAATATTAGCATAGCAAACATATTTCTCGTTTAATATAAGTCTAAAGTCAAATCTATAATAAAAATATCAATGTAAAAAAAAAATCCAGAAGACACTCGCGTTTATTTTGCATCAAAATGAGAGCATTAACCTGCACTCATAGTGACGTGTTGGCTATATCTTCAAAATATACAAGTGAGTTGGTTGATCCTACAGAGGAGTGAAGGTTACTAATGTTGGAGAATGGTGCAATTACTTCAAATTGTGATTAAAACTGAGTAGAACTGCCTGTGCAGGAAATTATTTTATTGCACACCTTCCAGACAATCAGAATCAGGGGAAATTGTGAAAATTGTTTGGTTGTATTTTCGGTATAACAATGTCATTTTTTTAATGTAAGATTTCAGAAACCTCCTCTATAAAAACCTTTGATGCTTGTGTCAAAAGATTTTAAATTTGACAGTACAATGTCCTGAAAACATGCAAATTAGCACATGTTTAATTAAACAATGCGTCATTTGCTCATTTATTTAACCCTACTCAGCAGCAATGCCTTAATTAACCTTTAATTAACCAATAAAATCTTATCTAAACTATTTTTTTTAATGAACAAAGTCAACAAGCCGAGTCTTGATCTAGTCTGTGGTCTGCCAGCTCTGAGAGTGTGAAGTTCCCGTCTATTTATATTAATGGGGACGTGTGATGTTTGCATGAGTGAAGAGGCAAAAGCAGAGGTGGGCATGTGAAAACAAGCCTCGTTCTGACATATTCTGTGTGAGTGTGTGTCTCTCGTGTGATTGTGTCAGACTGTACCTGCTGTGGAAGATCTGAAGTGGCCCTGAGGTTGGGCTGGTGGTCTCAGGCATTGGGGTCTCTGCGGGGTCTTGCTGCGTGTCGTCATCGTGTGCTGGTTTGGTGTGGAAGGACGAGGAGGGTCAGTGGATCTCGTTGAAGGATCGTCCAGCATATCGATGCCGTCCAAAGTGAAGTCCCACAATTCTGGGTCATCTGAGGAGAAGTGAGATTTTTAGTTCATGTTCACCAAACATCATTTGAAATTACTTTAACATTAGTGAGACGCATTAAAGTCAAATCTGAATATTCAGTCACTGATTTAGTCCATTTTGTGTCATTGTGAAATGCAAAAGATATTTTCTTGGTGTAAATAAGTGAAAGACTTATTATTAATATTAATTTATTAATAATATTTTTGGATTGACAGAATTCATTTTTTTTTATTTATGTATGCATTTAATATGGCCGTAAAACATTATAAGACAAGTATTCAGTCATTTTATCATTTAAAAAAAAAATTCTGATATATTTTCATTAATACAGATAATAGTATTAAAGGTGCTGTGATCTGCCAAAATGCTAATCGTTTCGCATAATATCTTTGAAAACACAGTCCCTTTACTGCTGCCCAAAGCCATGCCTCCTGAAATCATGAACGCACACCTTAAAGATGACAGTAGACAACCCACTAGATCATGTCATGCGCCAGTTAGAAAATTTTTTTGTATTTTATAATACTACGATTCCAAATGGAAAAAAAATTATTAATACTTTCAGAGAAAATGTAGTTTAATGATATAAAAGTATAGGGTATAAGCACAGCTAGTGTTTCTTTCCTGAAGATAAACTTCTGGTGAACGATTAATGTGACTTCTTTCAACTTTTTACAGTTCTTTTTACAGCTTCGATGTTGTAATGTAAATAAAATATATTCAGTTTAATAGACTTCAGCATTTATTTAGTTAAGCGTAAAATTAGATAAAAAAGCCTTTTACACGCAAATGCTGTCAGGATCAGCAGGCTAGTGCAGAAACTCCATTGAATATACTGGTGGTGCTAAAGTGATCATTTATCCCCCATTTTTCCCCAAAGTGCACACACACATCCCTTACCAGCCAGATACTGCTCCTGCTTGGTCACCAGGTGTCCGTTTGGTGTACTATGGTTAACAGGACCTACACCCTGTTCTAAAACAATAAAGTCACTGATGGAGAACACAAAAGACCTGACAGCCATGCAGGTATATACTTCAATCTTTCATACTAATGGCTGAAACATGAACCCTTTAAGGGTTAGTTCAAAAAGGAAAATTCTGTAATTAGTTACTCACACTCATGCCATTTCAATCCTCAGAGACCTTTGTTTAACTTCAAGACTAAGAAAGATATTTTAGAATAAATCACAGAGCTCACTCAGAGATGTTCAAAGTCCAGAAAAGGATCCAAAAACATTCCATGTGACTTCAGTGGTTCAATTGTAACACCCTGAATTATACAGGGCTTCAGTGCTTTCTATTATAAATGCTTCCTATTAACTTCGAATGGGTGACGTCAAGCGTTGCCGAACGGAATCATAGATCCGTCTGCGCCGCTTCAGCAGAGTTGCTCGCTGCAGAAGTTGTAAATTTGACAAAAAAAGTGTCAATGAAAGATCAGATCACTTTATACAAATAACCGAGCTCAGACAGTAACCGATTGTGGATTCATTTCATTGGCCCCCAACTTCAGGCACGCCCTCCATTAAGTGTTGACACTGAAGCCCAGTGTGAATCAGGCGTAATCATAAGAAGCTCCAAAAACACTTTTTGTGAGATACAAAACAAAAAAACTGTCAAAATCACGTTGCCCATGTCCTTTTTAGACACATCAAGTCTCAATGTACGTGTACACTATGGGCAATATGAGGATTGTGTTTGTAAACGTGGAAGAGGAGACATTGGTGAACAAAGTCATTTTTACAGGTATTTGCCACACAAAAGTGTTCTTAATGCTTCATCCTAAAAAGAAAAAAAAGTAAGAGGGAACATTGGGTCCATCCAATCCTGTGACTGCATACAAACTTTATATCAAGATTTAGATACAAAGATTAGTGTTGTGCTGTACTAGCGATTCAGGAACCACATATTAAAGACTGCAAAGTTCCAAGAAACAATTAATTCTGAACAGAGACTGGCAGCATGTAAAAGGTATAGATATGTGAAACCCTAAACTGTGGCATAAAACCATTCTTGACATTAGCACTTTAACATGTACTGTGGCTCTGAACTTGTCAAAAGACCTCTTCAAATGTTTGCAACCTTTGTATTTAAAAAAAAAAAACTGAAAATTGAGCCCACTTGAATTGTTTTTCTGACGTATGGAAGTTTCGGAGGCGGTGTGTTAACATGATTCACACATTATGACGTTGTGTTTATTTTTCAACATGTGAGATTTTCCAGCTCTGAGTGCACAACGATTTAAAAGTTCAAGGACCTTCAATGTTCATCCAAAAATAATCATTTAACCATTGTGTACTCATCCTACACTTGTTCAGAAACCCTTTGTTTCCTTCTTCTGAAGCCTCCGTTGACCTCTGTAGTATTTTTTTCCTTACTATAGATTTTAGTAGCAATTGTTCAATCCACCTATCTTTATGTGCAATTTGAAATATTGCATTAAAAAGGCTCAATGGAAATCCCAAGATGTACATCAAATTTATACAATGATTTATCCGTACATGTAGGATAAACTTTTAATTCAATAAGAAAACTTATTTGCTGAAATTCCAGTATGCCCTAGTGCAGGGGTGTCAAGTTCAGTTCCTGAAGACCCACAGCTAGTAATGTGAAGTTGCATGTATCAAAAAAAATGATGGATCAGGGGGGGCCAAGTTGGAGCACTCACTCTGGTCCCCTGAGTTCTGCGATTGGTTGGGAAATTCCAAACCAAAACAAACCAATAAAATTGGCTTAAGATTGGCAATCAAAATTTGGAAAATGGCACCCTGCAGAACTTTGATTAGTTTGATCAGAAGTTTGATTAGTTTTGCCATCCATCACATGATTAGTGATGTCCGAAGCTTCATTTTCGCCTATGCACACACGTGACTGCTTTAAATTTTGATTAAAGGTTTAAACACTGTTTCCAAGCACTGCACCGGTCTCACACACTAGTAATTCAACAAAAAAAAGAATAATAATAATTTATAGTAAAAATCTTTAGGACCATACTACAGGTGTATAAGTGTATTAATTACAACTATTTTTAAGACCACTGCATATTGTAGTATGGTGTGTAATGGAGGCCAGCTGATGAGTGCAGCCTGAAAGCCTCACTCCCATAGCCTTCTCCTTAGTGCATTTGCTTCCCATGCAGGTTCAATCCCCGCTTGGAATGAGTGGGTGGGGGAAGGACCAGCTGGAATGAGATAAACAAATACTTTTGAATACCTTGGATTTTACTGCAGTCATCGGTGGTGTGAGGTAACGTGTAAAGAACTACAGTAATTGAGTCATTTGTTTATATTACTATTGTTGTATTACTACATGAATGAGTTAGTCAGTTGTGAGTATTTAACATTTTTGCAACACAGCGCTTTTCCATACTTTAACCAGCAAAGGTCCTCATCAAGCTCTAATTTGGAAAACTTCGAGTAACGAACTGTTTTTCGATACAATTCGAGTCGAACTGGTTCACAAAGCTTCATTTCACCATCACTACCCACAGCCCTACACAGTTCTAACCCTGCTTCAACAGACTTGCCTGTAAGTTTCAAACAAGCTTGAAGGAGTCAATTAGTATGACCAAGTGTGTTTATTTAGAGTTGGAACTAAACTTTGCAGGCCTGCAGCCCTCCAAGAACACCCCTGTTTGATACCTCGGTCTGTGTGGTTGAATGATTTTTTTGAAGTCGACTTTAATATTATTGAAGTCAAGTTGACTAGTCGTTGATGATGTCATCAACAAAATACATGCAAATGTTTCGCAACACGGCACTATTTGCAGAATATATATATATATATATATATATATATATATATATATATATAAATATACACACATGCTGTTTTGAAGCTCATAACACATTGCAAAAACAATGCAACATTACCAATAACTAATTTTAGAGCAAAACAAATGCATTGTCAATACTGTTCAATTCGCTAACAATGCAACATTAGCACCGGCTAGTTTTAGTGCGAATTAAATGCAGTCAGCACATTGATGCTTATACATTTAACTACAATTTTTTTTGTGCAAAAGTAATGTATACGTTGTTAAAACAGAACACCAGTTGAGCATTTTGTCTTTTGATGCACAAGTACTATTCTTTACCTTGTTTAATGTGCAGCGTGGGCTGCTGGTCTTTCTTCTCTTGCAGCAGCTTCTTAGCCTCCATCTCCTGTCTGAACTTCTGCTGCAGCTGCTGCTGTCTCAGCTTCCTCTGCTGCTTCGAGTCCAGCAGAGGATCAGACGAGGACAGCTCCGTGGTATCAGATGCTGACCTAAGAAAACAGAAACCGGATTTATCACAAGTGCAGCTGTCTAGCTGTGTACGTTGTGCATTAGCAGCAGCACATAAATTTACCTGGAGGTGTTGCTGGGCCTGTTTTCTGTATCCTGGTGAGTCGTTGTGTTGCCAAGAAGTGCCGTTGTGTTTGTCAATGAAGTCCTGGGCCCTGTGGCGCTCTCATGGCCTTCCCGTACAGGGAGATTTCCCATCTGCTCTATGGGGATGTTGGCTGGGTTTTCCAGTTTGGTAAATTGCCTGCTGTTTGTTTGGGCCAGGCTGTCAAACCTGGCTTTCTCTACAGACGGCTCCAAATCGCTACGTTTGGTTTTGTCTGCGTCCAAAGGAGGAGGAGGCTGCGATGACAGGAAGTACACTGTATTCAGGTACATACAGATTGCGATATTTTGTTTTTTTGCAATATGAATTAGGGATGTAACGGTATCAGAATTTCACGGTACGGTAATACCTCGGTATGAATGGCACGGTACGGTATTTATTGAGTAATTTACAGGAAAACAAAACTAATGAAAAGACTCGAAAAAAGTGCCAAAAGTGTTTATTTACCTTAGCACTAAACATATCAATGACATACAAATTAGCCATCTATCTGTAACTTTTGAAACAGGAACTTCAATTTTTCAATTTTAATAACAAAAAACTATAAAACCATGTAGAAAAAATTAAGTTTCAATTTAGTATTGTTGAAAACTCATCACATTCAACATTTAATCACTCACTCACTTATAGAGATAGAGATGTAATAATATTTATTGGTACATAAATTATTGTTACATTCTTTGTGGGCATCTTTTATAAACTGCAGTAAAAATGTCATGATACATCTGTGTGTATTTATAATTATTTATTATTATTCATATTATACAGTGCTTAGCATACGTGAGTACACCCCTCACAAATCTCCCATTAAAATTCATATTTTCTATAGGAAGCATTACAATATTATGTGCATATAAACATGTTATAGTCTGAATTTGTCTTTTGTTTTTTTGCAATATTTAGCATTTATTTATTATTTTCCATTTCTAAAGAGGTTCTGTGAATAAAACATTATTTTAATAAATAAATCGGTTTAGTAAAAATGTTTTTTTTTCAAATGCACCAATAAATATTGCCTATATTCACTAAAGAATGAACAAAAAAAAAATCAGTTTTCAAAATGGGGTGTACTCATATATGCTGAGCACTGTATATCAATAAACCCATACGTGCTTATGTTTGACCAAATGCTATTTTTTTTGTTTTTAGAAGTTATGTATAAATTTAATTGTCTATATAACAAAATAGTATTGTTTTTATGTATGTGTGTACATCGCACACACATGCATACAAATATATATATATATATATATATATATATATATATATATATATATATATATATATATATATATATATATATAATATAATACACACACAGATTTTACGTCAAAACAACTTTTATTTTGCATGTGAATAATCTTTGGCCAGCACTTCTAATGATAATATATAAATAAATCCATTATTTTTGCACAGGACATATTCTAATATATGAAAAAGTACATTTTTTTTAATGACTAAACATTCATGTTTAACCCTTATAAAATGACTTCTTACCTGCTTTGGTATTTTGTTGATGGCGATAAGATACTCCTTGTTCAGAATACAGTTTCCAAGCGCATTTCCAAAACACCTTATTGGTAAATAAAATAAAATGAAATTATATTTCTATATTTCCTGTGATGGCAGTGTTACATTTCCAACATCATTACAAAAATTCTTCAGTGTCACATGATCCTTCAGAAATCATTCAAATATGATGATCTGGCATATAAAAACATTTCTCCGTTCTTATCAATGGCGTAAAAACGTTGTGCGGCTTAATATTTCTATGGAACCTGACCTTTGCTAAAAAACATCAAAGATGTAAAATTCTAATATAGGGTTATAAATACCTTTACTGCTGTTTTTGGTCAACTTCATGCATCATTGCAACATAAAAGCATTATTTTTTAATTCAATTTAATTTAATTTGTGTATCGCCTTTCACAAAAGTTATTTTTTCAAAGCAGCTTTACAAAAGGTTGTAAGAATTGAAATATTACAAATATTTTTGATGTCTTTGACAATTCAAAACATGAGCTGAAGACAGGGCCAATGGACTCCACAACCCACCAGGGGGGAATGCGTGAAAAACCAGTTCCTGCTGCATTTGCATCTGACTATGTTGAAACTCAGCTTCATCCCCCCAACTCACGCATATGGTCATTTCAATGTTTTAGATTAACCAAACTGACTTTAACTATCATGTTTGATATCATTTGAAATGTCTCAGTGCGATTGGTACAATGGTCTCATTCTCTCAGAAATAGATATAATCAACACAATAAATATATAACTTCAGGCATCTTTTGAACCACTGTGAAGGGTGTGACTTTTTACACACACCCCCTTCCTTGAGGGAATTCTTGGATTATTTAAGGCAAGGTTTGAGAAAAACTCAGGGCGATTCTGCCTAACCAGATCAGCCCATAACATGGGGTCTGCCCCATGTTATGTATATTTCAAAGTCAGGTATGCATCTTTTCATCTTGGATTTATCTTTGATAATTTGATGTTTTGTATTGATCATTTATGAATTGACTGATTGAATTGGCATAATACATTTACCTGACTAATAAATTGTTATGTTTTGAATGATTCAAACAGAGTTCGTGTTATTATCTTTAGTAGATTGTGGTAATTTCATAGCACCACAAGCCCCTGTTCAGGTTAGTAGCGGACTAGAACACGGTAGACGGAGCATTGCGGCACGTTACACGATGTCTCTAGAGCTCCGACTAACAAATTGGCATTTATTCATGTATACTTAGGCTGTAAAATGATATCTAAGGGGATAGTCCTTCACCCGATAAACTTTTAATACTATTTAGATAGTATAGTGATTATTCAAAGTTACTACTAGTTTAAGTACGACTGGTCTGCTTAATTCTATAGTAATGATCGTTATATGACTAAATAGCTCTGTCTGATTTAGGAGGTAGCAGACCTATGGGGACCGCATAAAAAATATCCTAATCTGAGTAAGTAGGGTTCTGCCTTTTTAGGATAGCGGTCAATCGCCCCTGTTTAGTGACCAAGACTGACATGCTTGTGCTTAAGAAATTGTATACTCGGCCGGTACAAGATTCAGGATGTTATAGAGATCCCAATGAACGAGAATAACATAAAATGATGAACCGAAGAGAATATTCAATCATAATCTAAATTAATGTGAAAGGAAACAAAATAATCTTCTCAATGTTTTATAATTGGAGTCAGATAAAACGAGGATAAACATATTAATATTCTAAACCATCTCATACTAAAATTGGAGTCAGATATGAGTTAAGTTTAATATAAATCAACATTGTGCACTGGATAGACCGAACATGTAGTGAACCTTCATCCACCATTGGATACCGTCATTGGACCAACTGGCTGGACCCTACAAGGTGCACATTATTGTATTAGCAATTCTTGTCATAAATCATATTGGTTAAAAAAATGTAATCCCTCCATGGGAAATTTAAGTCCCTTTAACTCAAGCCCTTTACTGTCATTCCATATTTTAAGGTCACACTTGAAAAACATGCACAGTTTATATAGTTTATCAATTTAAACTAAATATATTTAATGTACTGAAAAATCTTCCACCCAAACATCTTGGGACACGATTTTCACATCATTATTTGGCAATTAGCAACTCTGTTTGAGTAATGCCGAGTTCAGACTGCATGATTTTCAAGGTAGTCATGTCACAGATGTTTTCACACTGCTTGACTATCTGGGCTAGCGTTTCGTCGCTGCTTTGTTTACACTGCAAGATGGATTGGCGACAGGGACTTTCACATTGCATGACTTTACTATAGGAAGAATTGCCGACAACTACGTCTCACAGCCAAAAACACGTAGTTTATCTTTTGTTATTAACTACATAATGAGAAAGAAGCCTTTAAGGGGGTAGAACATGTACATGTTTGCTCATCTGGGTTTAAAGGGAATTAGCTATTTCTCCTCAACGTTGATGATAAACTAACTTCTTTCTGTATGAACCGTCAAACAGACACAGTTGCTCCTGAGTCCTGTCAAACCTCCACTAGTTTTTCCTCCATTTCGTCGGTCCAAATAAATCGAAAAAAGAGCGCTTTTAACTTCTCCCCCAGCCTCCCGCTGGCCTGCAGCAGGTATACACACATGCACACACAAGTGAAAGCTGCTCTCTCATTGGCTGTAGGAGATCGCTGATGTTATTTTCAGTCAAAACTCAATTCACACGTCATGATTTGAATCACCGACGGCTCCAGATATTTAGCATGCCAAATATCTCACAGGCATCGGCGACTCATCGGCGATTCTCTCAGATCACGTCTTTGATCGTTCATACTGTGTGATTGTCACTCACGTGCACGAGCACAGATTTGCCTGTGATTTCAGGCATTTGTCGGCGATTTCTCAAAACCTGTCGGCGAGCCAAAATCGGGGCTAAAATCATGCAGTCTGAACTAGGCATTAGGTATACACATCAATCAATTGATCACAGTGGTGGGGATCCTCAAACAAAATAAAAAAGCCAACAAAGACATATTTCATAGGGGAAAAAAATCAACAATGATTGTCTGCTTATTAAGATGATAATACAGTTCACAAACATTTATATACTCAAACTAAAATGGTTAATTCACATAGGTAAATAAAACTAGCTAAATACAACTAAAGAAAATCCTATTACTTTAAAAAGAAATGAAAAAATATTTGCCATAGAATGACCAATCGAAATCTGATGTAGTTACTTGAGTGCTCTTTTCAATCCATCTGTGACAGCTTCTTTTCTTGCTTTTTCCAGGGACAGAGCTTTGGATTTGAGGCCTTCGCTAACCCCATATCCTACATCCTCATGAAATGAGCCATCCTATGGAGAAAAACACTGAAGAATTTAGATGCTACTCACAACTCTGTACTTCTGTATTGTCAGAGCTCTTACCTTTAACTGGACCTTAATGAAAGCACTGACTCCAACGTAAAACTTCCCATTGATCAGGTCCACAAAGTCTGGAGGACAAGATCAAACAAGGTTGTGTTGATGCTTGACAGTGTATCATTCAGTCATTCATTTTCTTTTCAGCTTAGTCCCTTTATTAATCCGGGGTCGCCACAACGGAATGAACCGCTAGCTTATCCAGCATGTTTTTATGCAGCGGATGCCCTTCCAGCCGCGAACGCAGCGAGAACATGCAAACTCCACACAGAAACGCCAACTGACCTAGCTGAGGCTCGAACTAGCGACCTTCGTGCTGTGAGGCGACAGCACTACCTACTGCGCCACTGCATCGCCCAGCCATTCATTCATTCTTTCATTTATTCATTTTCCTTCAGCTTAGTCCCTTATACAGCAGAATGAACAACCAACAATTCCAGCATATGTTTTACGCAGCGGATGCCTTTCCAGCCACAACCCAGTACTGGGAAACACTCTTACACTCTCACATTCACACACCCACTCATACCAAATTAGTTACGTAATTCACCTATAATGCATAGAAACCAGAGCAGCCAGAGGAAACCCATGCAAACTCCAAACAGAAATGCCAACTGACCCAGCCGGGACTCGAACCAGCGACTTTCTTGCTGAGAGGAGACAGCACTAACCACTGAGCCACCATGGTGCCAGGTCAGTGTATTATCCTTATTAATAACAGTGACATTCTTATTAATCTGAATCATTTTAAACTAGAACTACACAAGCATTCTACCACTATTTTACTCCCTGATTAATATATTGAATATATTTTACAATGATGAAGTTTTATTATCTGGCTTTAATTATTTGCTGGTTCTTCTATGTGAAGCAGCTTTGACACAATGTGCAAAATGCTATAGAAATGAAAGTACTTGATCTGACTAAAACAAACTTTAAATGAAAAGAGTCATACAAATCTTGTGTGTTTTAAACAAGCAGACTGAGACCAATGAAAAGACAACTCTCAATCTGCTTCCAAATATCAAGATGTAAATATGGTTCAACTGAAAGATAAATTACATCAAGAAATATTATACATATGAATATTCTATGTTTGGGGTTTTATTTTGATCAGGGCTAAACTAATGAAAACAATTTATATATATGAACAAACCAGAAGTCTTAAAGTATAGTAATACAGGGCGTACTCACACTATGTACAGTTGCCTTGAATTGTGACGAAGCGCGATTGTTCCCCCCCTCTCCCCATCTGCATTTTGCCTTCCGAACCTGAGCATGTTTACGTCATCAATGATACGACTGTTCAGTTTAACAGGAAAAGAAGTGCTCTTGCCGGGGATACAGTGACACGCAGTCAAACACTTTATCTGAACAGAACCAGCACTTTTGACACGCATAAAATGCAGCGAGGGGTTTTTGTCTTTAATAAACTACAACAGCTTGTGTTTATTGAAAAGTAAGAATGATTAATAAATCCATATGAAACAGTCACTTAAAAGTGACGTCACGTCGTCAGTTGCAGGCTCAGGCACGTTTTGCACTCACACTACAAGAGTATCGCGCTAAATCCCGAACGAACCACGCTCTGGCACACTTCTAACCAGGTCAGAGAAGGGGCCAGCCAACTGAACTGCGTCTGGGCGATTCAGAGCACTCACACTTGTCAAACAAACCGGGAAACGCATCTGGGCATGGTTCGGATAGCATAGTGTAAGTGCACCCTGTGTGTACGTACTTACCAACATTTTGTTGAGATATCGAGTGTGACCATCCATTGTACCCAAACATTTCATTGGCCAGGCTTATAACTTTGTGACCTTCAATGTAGCACACCTGCAAACACAAAAACAAGGAAAAACTATTACAAATGAATATTTCCGCCACCAGCTGAGTCTGAATCAGAAGTGCATTGAGACCCCTTTATCTAGAGCCACAAAAATACAGTTGAAATCACAATTAATAAATCCTTTGAGTTTCATTTTCTTTTTTAAATATTTCCCAAACTATGTTTAACAGAGCAAGGAAATTTACACAGTATGTCTGATAATAATTTTAATTCTGGAGAAAGTCTTATTTGTTATATTTCGGCTAGAATGAGAGTAAGAATGAGGTCAAAAGGTCAAAATTAATGCCCCTTTCAGATATTTTTCTTTTTCTACAGAATAAACCATCAATAAACAATAACTTGCCTAATTATCCTAACCTGCCTAATTACCCCAATTAACCTAGTTAAGCCTTTAAATGTCACTTTAAGCTGTATAGAATTGTCTTGAATAAATATCTTGTAAAATATTATTTACTGTCATCATGGCAAAGATAAAAAAAAATCAGTTATTAGAAATGAGTTAAAACTATTATGTTTAGAAATGTGTTTAAAAAAATCTCTCCGTTAAACAGAAATTGGGGAAACAAAAATTGTTTTTTTTATAAATAAATACTTAATAAAGGATGGCACAGTGGCTCAGTGATTAGCACTGTCGCCTCACAGCAAAGGAGGGCACTGGTTCGAGCCCCGACTGGGTCAGTTGGGATTTCTGTGTGGAGTTTGCATGTCTGCGTGGGTTTCTTCTGGGTGCTCTGGTTTTCCCCACAGTTCGAAGACATGTGCTGTAGAAGAATTGAAGAAAACTAAATTGGCTGTAGTGTATGATTGTGAATCTGAGAGTATATGAATGTTTCCCAGTACTGGGTTGCAGCTGGCCTGCAAGGGCATCCGCTGTGCAAAACATGGATAAGTAGGTGGTTCATTCCGCTGTGGTAACCCCTGATAAATAAATTATTGGTACTAAACCAAAGGAAAATGAATGAATGAATTAACTTAATAAAATAATGATGCTGCCATCTTTCTAAAGTAACCTTTTCCCCTAAATTTGGCCTAAATCTCTCCCCTAAAATAGATATTTTGACCACCTGGACTACAAATTAAACATACATCCATGACATTTAATATTTTGACTTTCATTAAAATTCATGCTTGTCCTTCTGATTAAAAAACACTTTAGCATTTTACATTGCTGAAATGTAATTGATGATTACATAGAAAAAAGACAAACTTCACCTTTTGTCCTCCTCCAGCCTGTCTGGTGCTGATGTATTCAGGTCCGAGCTTCTGCCGCAGTGCATTCTGGACTGCCTGGTATTCCTCTGCACTGTATGAATACTACAACAAACAGTCACTAAATCATTTTCAATTCTGAAAATATCATAACATCAACACACTGTAATTCGTGTCTTTCTGTAGATGCTCTTATCATGTCAAACACAAGTCATCTACCTGCCCAAAACACGTGTTTGTTGTATGAGGTTTTCTCTCCTCTTGCCTCCCGCTGCTATAATCCATGTGTGTGTTTGATGCCTAAATCGGTCAGTGTTGTCTTTTAAGCGATATTGTTGTTGCGTAACACGGGAGGAGGTTGCTAAACTGCTACAACATAACGCGCTAACGTTAGTTTACACCCATAACGCGTTAAAATCTTTCTGTTGCGCCAATAATATTAACATTTGACCGTTCAGTTACGGCTACTGTATGAACTTACTGATACTGAGAAACGAACACCGACATAATAACAGTTTATCCTGCCCTTTGATAAGCGTTTGAATAACCCGCGTCATGACGTTTACTACGCCCCGCCCAGTCTTTTTGCGTACTACGTCATAGAAACAGGGAGCACGTCAGGGCGTGTACGATAGTCGCGTTTAAATCAGGTTCTAATCTATAATTTTACAGTCCAACGCAGGGGTGCTCAAATCTTTTTCCTATGAAAGGTCAAAACCAAATGTCATTGAGAGCCGTGTGCCGAAGGTAAATATACCAAATTATATTACATTAAAGTTGCCAACGTGTAATTTCTAGATTTATTTCATAATATTTAAAAATTATCAGAAAAAATCACTTTGAATTGTATTAACTAATGCAGTATAACTTTTAAAATGATAACTTATTACAATAAAAGCATAATTGCATTTATAATACAGTGAAGTTCAATGCTGAATGAATTTAGCTTTGACTTGATTTGCTAACCAAAGTCTCTGCATTGTCGGATGACAGTATCCATCTATTTGTTAGAAATGATAGATTAGTGTTTCACTGCATTCGCAAAATCAGAATTAAAGTAAATATATTCTTACATTTTTAAAATATATTTAAAGGATATTTGAAGTCCAGTCTAATAGTTACTGCCTAAATTGTCGTCAGTATAGCATATCATTGAATAAATGCATGTCATAGTTCTTATTGAGAACAATTCATCTGTGCACTTAAAAAAAAAATTGTGATTCATGTTTTTATTTTGTCCTGTTTATTTATGCTTTTGAATTCGATTACGGGACCTTGATTTTTCTTCTGACAACCTTTATCCTTGAAAAGTTAAAAAAGTGTCTTTTATTAATATCTTAGTTTAAAGTGATGCATTGTCAGGGTTAGTGTTGTATATTACGATACAAACACCTAGCAATAAACTGCTTCACGTTTTCTGTTATATTACAGACTTGTTTTTCTATATGTTAGTTCTTATAGGTAAAATGTCAATAAAATGTCAATAAAAGTCACCGTCAAACTTTAGGGTTAAATTTTCTACATCAAAAATCAACAAAACAGAGATCAATGATACAATTCACACGCCTAAATAAATAAAAAAGACTTGTGAATCACAAAATACAGAAACTGGTATTTAAGAAATGTTTTACAGTGTTTATGTTTATTTATTTTTAATTCATTGAGAAATATTTAAGAATTTTACACCACAAAAGTTACTAAAATTTGAAAATGTTCCTATATTTTAAAAAGTTTTGCATACAAATGACAATCAATTTGTGTTAATTGTAGAAGCTGGCTCCCTGGCATGACGCAGCAGGTAATACAAGCAGCAATTTTGCATTGCACAACTTAAAAAAAGGTATATTTGTTTATCAAAATATTCTGAAACCACAGTTTCTCTGTCACAGACTATCACCTGTCTTGATTGTCTGCACTTGCTCTGTATTAAAATATACAGTGCATTCGGAAGTATTTATTGAGCTTCACTTTTTCCACATTTTTCTTTTTACAGCCTTATTACAAATTGGATTAAACTCATTTATTTCCTTAAAATTCTACACACAATACCCCATAATGACAATGTGACAAAAGATTTGTTGAAAATGCTGCAAATTTATTAAAAATAAAAAACCCTGAAAAAAAATCACATGTACAGAAGTATTCACAGCTTTTGCCATGAAGCTCTAAATTGAGCTCAGGAACATTCTGTTTCCACTGATCATTCTTGCGATGTGTCAGCAGCTTAATTGGAGTTCACCTGTGGTAAATTCAGTTGATTAGACATGATTTGAAAAGGCATACACCTGTCTACATAAGGTCCCAAGGTTGACAGTGCATGTCAAAGCACAAACCAAGGATGAAGACAAAGGAATTGTCTGTAGATCTCAGAGACAGGATTGTCTCAGGCACAAGGCTGGGGAAGGTTACAGAAAGATTTCTGCTGCTCTGAACGTTCCAATGAGCACAGTGGCCTCCATCATCCGTAAGTGGAAGATGTTTGGAACCACCAGGACTCTTTCTTGAGCTGGCCGGCCATCTAAGCTGAGTGATCGGGGAGAAGGGCCTTAGTCTGTGAAGTGATCAATAACCCAATGGTCACTCACACACAGACCAGAACCTTATAGGACAACTATATTAGTAGCAATTGGAGTGAATGTCAGGCGTTACCTATGGTGAAAACCAGGCACCGCTCATCAACCAGGCTAATACCATCCCTACAGTGAAGCATGGTGGTGGCAGCATCATGCTATGGGGATGTTTTTTAGCAGCAGAAACTGGAAAACTAGGCAGGATAGAGTGGAAGATGAATGCAGCAATGTACAGAGACATCCTGAATGAAAACCTGCTTCAAAACGCTCTTGACCTCAAACTGGGGTGACGCTTCATCTTCCAGCAAGACAATGACCCAAAGCACACCGCCAAAATATCAATGGAGTGGCTTCACAACAACTCGGCGAATGTCCTTGAGTGGGCCAGCCAGAGCCCAGAACTAAATCCTATTGAACATCTCTGAAGAGATCTAAAAATGGCTGTACACTGTCGCTTTCCATCCAACCTGATAGAGCTTGAGAGGTACTGCAAAGAGAAAAAAAATTCCCAAAGACAGGTGTGCCAAGCTTGTAGCATCATATTCAAAAGGACTTGAGGCTGTAATTGTTGCCACAGCAAAGGCTGTGAGTAATTATGTACATGTGATTTTTCAGGTTTTTTTTTTTTTTTTTTTTTTTGAGAAAATAAATTAATTTAATTCAATTTGGAATAAGGCTGTAACATAAAAGAATGTAGAAAAAGTGAAGCACTATTAATACTTTTCAGATGCACTGTGCATGTGTGCAGGCACATAGTGTTCCTTTATCTTTGTACTGGCATGCATAAAACAACAATTAGTCACTTACACAGAATCCTTTGAACATTTTGTTTTTTGAGTGTCATGATGCGAAAACCACAAACTGTTTCTGTTTGTTGCTTAAAATGTACCTTTAGTCAACTTCAAAAATCCCACATTCATCTGCCTCCATTTTGGAGAGCAACTTTAACATGCAGTCATCAACTCTTTCATAGAACTAATGCATTCTACTTTTTTGCGCTAGTCTATGATGGGATTGTTTGAAATTAGATTGCCACAAATAACAAAGCAAACTTTTGTGAAAATGAACAAAAAATGACATTGATAAACTAGAAAAACACTCTGAAACAAAAAACAACTAATTAGGAAAGAAGTGTTCATATAAGCTGCATTCTCAGTTCAGTTTTGAACACGCTGCCAAAGTTTTTGTTTTTCAAGATTTTGTTTGCACTTTGCAAATTTATGTTTACCATTCTAGTACAGAACTCTACTCTGAAGCAGAATTTTTTTATGTGCGACACTCTCTACATCCAGGACCGAGAGCTGAGAATCAAAATCTCAGTCGGTGTAGATTACCTCAGGAGAGATCCGTGCCACAATGGCGAAGGTAATTTGTGAAGATTTTTATTTTTTTTGGTTGAAACTTTCAACAACAACACAATAAAAATTGCTCTTAGCAAAACTGAAGTCAGAAAAGAACATGAATAACTGATAATAGTATGGTGAGTAGTGTATGTGTGTGAATGCAAGAGTGTATGGATGTTTCCCAGTGTTGGGATGCAGCTGGAAGGGCATCCGCTGCGTAAAACATATGCAAGATGGCAGTCCATTCCAGTGTGGCAACCCCGATTAATAAAGGGACTAAGCTGAAAATAAAATGAATGAACTAGTATTATTACACCAATGCTAAACGGTGGCACTTTTAGCCTTCTAGTTGGAAGACAAATTGTTTTCAGATCTACACATATCTACAGAGCTCAATAGCCTTGTTCTGGATGATAAAACTCCACTATAGTTTTAAAATTAATAATTATTTTTGAGCTCAGATATATTTTCTTTTGTTGAAGCCATGTTTGCATGTAGGCAACTTATTTTTATTCATTCATTTCCTTTCCAGCTCAGTGGAATGAACCACCAACTTATCCAGCATATGTTTTACGTTGCAGATGCATTTCTACATAGAGTTTGCATGTTCTCACCGTGATCATGTGGGTTTCCTCCGGGTGCTCCGGTTTCCCCCACAGACCAAAGACATGCGCTATTGGTAAATAGGATGAACTAAATTGGCAGTAGTATATGAGTGTGTGTATGTGAATGTGAGAGTGTATTTCGTGAGTTGTGTGTTTCCCAGTACTGGGTTGCGGCTGGTAGGGCATCTGCTGCGTAAAACATGGTGGTTAATTCCGCTGTGGTGACCCCTGATAAATAAAGGGAATAATCTAAAGGAAAATGAATGAATGAATGTACTATATTTGCTTGTTTATCAATAAACTTAAAGTTTGTGTATCCTACTCATTTTAATTATATTGTTTCATTTGTAAGGTTGGTTTTATTTTTGCCTTATACCTGGTTCCCAGAACATTTAATGTTGGTTTCTAAGACAGAACGGCACATTTTCCTTTAGGTTCTTTTTAAAGTTTTTACAACAACAAAAAATTAATACTTCCTCCAACATTCTGAAATGTTAGAATACAACTAAACACACACACACACACACACACACACACACACACACACACACACACACACACACACACACAACAAATAACGTTATAGAATATACTTATTTGCTTACCATAAAACAAAATAACCAAATAAAACCAAACAGGAACCATTAGTTCACCATTACAATTTAAAGGACACCTAATTTACCCCTTTTTAAGATTTAAGATGAGTCTTTTGTGTCTTCAGAAATTTTCTGTAAACTTTTAGCTCAAAACACCCTTCAGCGTAATTATTATAATTTTCAGAATATTGGATTTTTTTGCTCTGAACACAGTGTAGCTGTTTTTGTTGCCTGTGCCTTTAATGCTAGTTCTCCCCGCCTACGTTCCCATGTGCCTGTCAGAGTGTGCCTCAATCTCCAACTCGGCTGCATCAGATAAACAGCACAGTGGCAGACATGAAGGAAGCAGATCTGTTGTAACGCTTGAGAGAAATGCTACAGTAAGAACTTTCCCAATGATTATTTGATGTATTTGTTGTGGAGTTGCAACAATGAGTCACACACAATGACAATGTTGTTACAAAGTTCATGCACGCACACACAGACACACGCACAGCACGTTTGTTTAACTTAGCACTGTTTTTGCACAGCAAATGTGATATGTGACATTTAAGCTTGTAAAACTTTTTCTTGATTACATTTGATTATGATCACAGTGAGCTGAACAGATCTATTAATCACAGTTACTTTGCGCACGTCCTGTCTTGTGGATATGATTATATGTGTCACTACAGAGACATATTAATAAGGGGCTGTCAATCAATTTAGTGGGTGGAGAAAACCACACTCTACGTCACGTTGTGGTGGGCTTCTAGGCCCCATTTACACTGTCAGGTCTTGATGCCTAATTCCGATTTGTTGCCTATATCAGATTTTTTTTGTCTGTCCATTTACTTGTTCTTTTAATTGTGACCCATATCCAATTCATGTTTACACTTGCCATAGAATTTACGATGTCCTGCATGCATAAACGCGGGTTTAGCATCTGTGCCACACTAGCCACGATGGAAGAAATGTTCTTGTTTTTAGCTCTGTGAAATATGTGAAGTGTAGTATAAGCAGTGAATGGTTAGGCCAGATTTACCCATGCAGTTTATATAATGGTATGGCCCTAATGTGTGTATGTAGTGGAAGATGTAGCCTTTGCCTGTGTGCGCACTGGTGTTGGAGGGAATAAAGTTGTTATATGTGTAGCCCGCAGTGCGTGTATTAATAGTGACAAAAAGCTAAAGTTACAACACAAAGTTCGCCCAACTTTAAAATGATTTTGAGGCGGAGGAGGTGGGAAAGGGCCATCATCGCAGTTTGCGCTTATGGTTTATTTGCAGGATGATGTCATCCACCATTCCGAGGAGAGAGAGATCCCAGGTCTGGTGGGAGCAAATTGTGGTGACTGACCACTTTCCTCCTCCATGTTTCCTCTGTAGTTGTTGTTTACCGCGTCGGCATCTCCACACACACTCTTCCTTCTACGTCATTAAGCCACAGAGAAGCAACACATTTTCGCAAGTTTAATGATGTACAAAACGGAAGGCCCAAATAAACCCAATCTGCCTGTTTACATGACAGTCGCATTGTCACATATCCGATTTATATCTGATTTATTTCCACATATGAAGGAGGCCTGAAAATGATCTCTGAATATCCGAATGCATACGTTTTTTTCATGTTTACACGGTCATAGAACAGATGCGATCTGTGTCACATATAAGCCAAAAATCGGAATTGGGTCACATTTAACTGGCAGTGTAAACAGGGCCTAAATGCGAGGGATTTGGATTCTATTTTAACGTCAGGAAAACTGACTTGTTGTCTTTTTATCACCCTAATATGACTGTGGACACACTATACCTACTCACAGTTCTGTCTGAACATCTTACAAAAGATGATTTTCATCATAGGTGCCCTTTAAATTCCTTTGGGGAAAAATGAATGGAGAAATAAGTTGAGAAGAAGAAAAAATAAATTGAGAAGAAGCACTGCTGAAATAATGTAAAATTGTATTTAAAACATTTGAGTTCTCTACTCCACCTCTTCAAGATTATTTATTGGTTTGCAAAAGAACATCCCCGTCACTGTCAACTCAGCAGGGATTATCTCAATATAAATACGGGATCCGAATAAAGATTGCAGTCTGCTTGCAGCCTGCAGTCACTGAATGGTTTGAATATGGATTGAGCATTAACCATTGAGCTCATAAATCATTTCCTGCGTTCGCTTTTATTAAAAATGACGAGACCCTAGTTTAAATGAGCATTTTCCAGTTTCATTTAAAGCACATTTTGACCCTTCGCACAATGGCGCGCGCGCACGTGTTCGGGCGTGAACGCGCCCACAGTCTGGACTGGCGTCTGGTCAGACAGTCTGCAACTCGGGAAGAAGCGAATAGGAGGGGCGAGAATTGGGAATGCCACAGGAATGATCCATTAACCCCGCACAGCCCAACATCCGCATGTATGGATTAGTTACTCCCGAAGTGTAATCCATCATCTCTATTGTATCCGCGCGCATTGAACTTCCTTCAGTATCTCCGACTGCTCACATTCACTTTGCACGCGGAGCACATGACGGTGAGTTCAAAGATTGTTACCGTTTGCGTGGAGTCTGAAAATAAATCGGGGTTTAATGTAATGTTTCGTTTTCCCCCGGATGAATGGTGCATTGTTGCGTTGTTTATGAATAACAAACGTGCCATGTTCACCACAAGGTACATTGAGTACCCAGTGCGTCAATCCCGCCATGAATAACTTACAGCTATACTGATGGAATATGTGAGCAACTGAAAATGATGCGGATTGTTTGATTCCTGACTACGTTTAACTGTGCATTCAAGCGATATCTGTCAGTCCAGCGTGGAAAAAGATGCCCTCTCCTCTCAGATATCCTTCTCGGGTGTTACCCAGACGTTGTCGTTTTACCTGTCTGCACTTTAAAAAGGGAAATGGACTCCTCCTGCTCCGGTAAAACACCGTGGCGCGTGTCCTGGCACGTTCACTGAACAAAGGGAAACTGACGCGATGCTTCAGGGAAAGTGGAACATAAAGCAAAGTCACGTATTTGGGTCGAGGCTGTTGGGATGCGTTTGTGTGTTTTTAAGAGCCTAGAAAAAGCTCTTACGGCCGCGTGAGCAAATGATGACAGCCTGATGCAAGACAAGTCTTTTGTTTTAGTAGCCTATTTCTTTTGCGATGCTCTTTTCTAGATGCTCCGGCAGGGGGCGCGAGCTGTGTTGTGTTGCTGAGGAACACATGGAGAATGAATAACGTAAACAAGCACATCGATCCGTCATTTAACAGCAACCGAGATGAATGAGACGGGCGGAATTATCGGGGGAAAAGAGTTTACATTTGTGATAAATGGTTGTAATACGATCTTATTTTCTAAAATTTTTCGCTATACGCTTGCATCAGGGAGTTAGTAAAATTTAAAGGGAGAGTTCTACTAAAATATAATTATATATATTTTTGCACTAGCACCTCATTTCGTTCAAAATTAAACGTTTTAAAGACTGTGTTGGTCACCATTATCTTTAAAAAAAACATTAAATGGAAACTGGTGCTGTAAAGTGCATGACCACATTCAGACAGATTCGTAAACAAATGGATAAACTGACGTTATTTAAACTGTGTTTTGTTAATACATGAAGTAACATCGCAGTGTATAAGTGATTATGGATGAATGTTCATGTGCCCCTCATAATGTTTCATCCAAATAATTTCCGCTCTCGGATACAAAAAGAAAATCCTTTCTTTATGACGTGTACACTGGCCTGAGGGTGGAGCAACCTGTCACTCACATCTGAGATATTACAATATGAAACTAGACAGTAAAGTTCGTCGAGACAAACTTTGAGGCTGGCTTGACAAAGCCTGTTGGGAATAGTTTATTTAGATAAAAACAGTTTGAAAAAGTATAAATAACATATTAGCATGATTCTAGCAGGGATTAGCATGAATTAGCATGTTATTAGCATGATTCCAGTACAAATTAGCATGTTACTAGCATGATTCTAGTATGAATTGGCGTGTTATTAGCATGATTGTAGTGTAAATTAGCATGTTATTAGCATGATTCTAGCATGAATTAGCATGTTATTAGCCTGATTCTACCATAAATTAGCATGTTATTAGCATGAATCTAGTACAAATTAGCATGTTATTAGCATGATTCTAGCATGAATTAGCATGTTACTAGCATGAATTAGCATGTTACTAGCATGATTCTAGATTTATATTTTATAACATACAACAGTCCCGACTCCTCCTAAATAATTCAACATAGTGGTTAAAACAATATCACCCGGTTTAGTTAACCCAAGGCAGGGCAGGGCAAGTCTATTTATATAGCACAATTTATACACAGCGGCAATTCAAAGTGCTTTACATAAACATGAATAAAAGAGACAAGTATAAGAAAATAACAACAAATAGTAATGATTAAAACTGATTAAAATGTGTTAAAACAGGTTATAAAATAATGAAGAAAAGTAAAACATAATAGTGCGATCTGTCGGACGCAGCACAGTGCTCATTCAGTAAAGGCACAGCTAAACAGATGCGTTTTCAGTCTTGATGTGAATGTGCCTAATGTTGGAGCACATCTGATCATTTCTGGAAGCTGGTTCCAGTAGAGAGGGGCGTAGTAGCTGAAAGCTGATTCACCCTGCTTTTACTGAATTATTGGAATTTCTAGTTTATATGATCCTAAAGATCTGAGATATATCTGTTGGGTTTGTATTCAGTGAGCATATCTGTAATGTATTGAGGTTATAGGCCATTTAGTGATTTATAGGCAAGTAATAATACTTTAAACTCTATTCTGAATTTAACTGGGCGCTAGTTTAATGACCTGAGGACAGGTGTGATGTGCTCTGATTTTCTGGTTCTGGTCAGAATCCCTTTGACCAGGTTCCTTTCCTCTGGTTCTGGTAAGAAAGAAGCATTCTGGATGAGCTGCAACTGTCTGACTGACTTTTTGGGAAGGCTCGTGAGAAGTACAGTAATCCACTCTGCTGCTGATAAAAGCATAGACAAGTTTCTCTAAGTCTTCACTAGAAACCAAGCATCCAATTCTTGCAATGTTTTGAGACGATTGTATGCTGATTTACTGACTGCTTTGACATGACTATTGAAACTCATATCTGACTCCAGAACTACACCAAGATTCTTGACCTTATTTTTTGTTGTTTGACCCTTAGAACCAAGTTAAAACCTAGTTACTCTAGATTTAATCCAAGGAGCTCAGTGGATATTCATCCTCCTTTGCTATTAGAAGGTAATGTAACAATGGGTTTCTGCGTTAAACTTTTCAATTTAAAAGGAAAATTTCTTCTAGGAGAAAGTTTTACTGGAGGTCCTTGGTTTAGGGTATAAACTGGCTTTTACCAGGGAAATATTACATTTTCCAACAAGGCAAAAGAAATTTGACATAAAATTTGTCCGTTAAATTCTAGTATTTCTAAATTTTTGGACATCGACAGCTCCTGTTCTTCCTGCAAACAAGCAGAGATGAAATTAGTACATATACATGCCAAATTTTTTGTTCACATTCAGAAATTCGCAAATAATTACCCATCCTTTCCTTCTCAGTTAGAAAAAAATTTAACTCCCTCCTAAAATCACTTAATCTTATTAAGAATAAAAACCTAAGATTCCTGATATATTATACAGATGTTTTTAAAGAAGATCCTCGTTTTTAGTTGATTTCCCAATGGTTATTTGGTTAAGTGTCATTTTAATTTCATTTCTTTGTCTAATTTTGTTTGTTTAATTGAGTAATTTTATTATTATTATCAATACTATAAAATTATTATTTTTATTATTTTTTATTTATTTTATTAGTCATTTGTTTCCCTTTCTCTCTATTGATATGTTATTTGTATGCATATGTGATTATTGTTTTTCTTATGACCATGTATATTATTGACCTCCTAAAGACCTATCTGTGATCCCTTGGACTTTCTGAGGTTCTTATCAGTTCAAGCTATAAAAAATAACAATAACAGAAACAAAAAGCCTGTCACTCGCATGAGTTCAGTAAAATGCGAACCACACCAAATCCTGTCTTTCTAGATGGACAAATCAAGTCTTTTTTTATTCAAGAATCATTTTGGAGATATAAATAGATATTACAGTTTCTGTTTTCTGCCCACATTGGTGGGTGGAAGGTCACCTTTTTCATTAGTTTGCTTGTTATTACCCATTCATGCTTTAGTTAAATTACATTTTGCTTATTGATTTTTGTGGATTAATTGATTGCAGTTTGATAAATAATAAGCTGATTCGGATCTACAGTAATCTTTAATTGGTAATCTTTAATCAACATTTCAACAGACATGTGATTGAAAATGCTTAATTTTTAAGATACAAATGTGAATTTCACATAAAAATAAAATAAAAACCATTAGAACATTGTGATATATTTTGCTGACCTAATTACTTACATTATCCCAAATATTTCAAAGAATGTTCACTCCAGAGAAATAAACAATTTTAACTAGTAACACGGACCGTGTCCTGTGTCATCATTCTAATGAGGTCATACATGCTCGAATTTTAGTTTGGTTTTTATAGAAAACAGGAAAACACCAAAGATGCTTTAATATGTTGTGAGTTTTATTAGATTTATTAGTTTTATTGCACAGAACAGCATTATAACAGAACCATAAACTGTATTTAGCATGATGAAATAGCTTTGTAATATAATGAAGATCACAACTCCCATGATTCCACACTCAGTCACGACATCATCAAAATACGCCTTTATTTGTCAATAGACACTGTCTAGCTGCCAAAATTACAAACTGTATCTCTAACTTCCATGCATAACCATAGGTTTCTTTTAAAATACACACATACTTAGTGATGTGTGATCTAATTTGACTTTATTTGTCATGAAAAGTGTCTTTTGAACACTTATGCTTGATTCACACCAAAAACAGAATTAAGTATTTGCACAAGTAAATAACTTAAAGTCTATGCAAATGCAAGAAGAGAGGTGAATTACCCAGCATGAAAGACATGAAATAGATGACTCGTTTCTCAAGCAAAAATATTATGTGAGGGGAAAAACATCCTATGAGTAAACAAGAGCAAGTGACGTGGTGTCTGTGTTTGGTGTAAACTAGGCCTGGGCGATTAATCGAAAGATAATCCAAATCAACATTTAGAACCTATAATTAGTCAAAATTTTCCACGTCAGTTTTTGCTATTTCTTTCCCTCTTGTGTGTGGAGTCTCACGGCCCCATTCTGTTAAGGCTGATTTATACTTATTATATTATAGTTTATACTTATATTGTTATGATTTTATGCTTTTGCCAATCGCACGCCTACGGTCCGGCGCAGCCTCCGCATACACTCGCACCCTTATAAAAAAAACCTTAGCTACACATCACAACTATTAGAACTACACGTTACTATCACAAAACCTGTCACTATATGAAACTTGTAAATAAAATAATCTTTCATTAATCGCAATTAAGTAAAAATGTTCAATTAATCAAATCACCCAGCCCAAGTGTAAACTTAGGATTACATTGTCTATTAGTATGCTTAAGGGGGTCGCACACTGGATGCACTACTCGGCACCACACACATAGCGCCATGCATTTTAGAATTGTAAACAGATTTCTATCAGGGTACGCTCACCAATGCCGCAAGTCGAGAGCCACAGAGCGCCATCGAAATAGCTTCATATTAAATAACATTCGAATACGTGCGCTTGTTGTGCTATACTTCCAACTGTCATGTGTGCGGCATGTCGTGGCACTGAGTGGCAAATCCACTGTGCGACACCCTTTAGGCCCTGTCCACACAAACAGGACTTTTCAAAATCGCAGTTTTTTTTCTATGCATTTTGGCCATTTGTCTACACCAGGGGTGTCCACACTCGGTACTGGAGGGCCCCGCAAAGTTTAGTTCCAACCCCAATCAGACACACCTGGGCTAGCTAATCAAGCTCCAAAGCTGCTGTCACACTGGGCTTTTCCTCCCATAGACTTCCATTCATACACACGCGAATGCGTCAGACCAGAAACGCAGGGTCATGCGTTAAGTTTCGCAGGTTGCTGCGGTGCAAAGTTCAAGCTTGGTGAACTCTGACCTGCGAAATCGCATCACTTGACTGCGTGAGACCAATCGAGGATCAAAACATGATCTCTCTGGACAGAAATTTAAACCACGAAGCAATCGCTTGCTTTTTTAAATGTCTAATTATCTTGTTTAATCCCGCCCCTTTCGCAGCGCAGCACGACAGAATTTTGCATTATCAAACGCCAGTGTGACCGCAGCTTTACTAAGCTTTCTAGAAACATCCTTGCAGGTGTGTTGAGGCAAGTTCAGATCAGTGCAGATGATATTATATTTCCTACATATAAATTATGCACATTATTTTGATGCTCTTCTGGGAGGATTGTTTAGGTATAATTTAGCGGGTCAAGCCCCCTGGAAATCACTTCAGTGGGTCTGACAGTTACACTTCTGCTTCAACACACTGCTCATTATGTCTCCTGCTTTATTTTTGTCATCAGAAGCACCAGAGATGTTCTGAATAAAAAGAGGATCTGGCAACCTTTGGATAACAATGCTGGAGAACTTGAGTGGAGGCCACAGCGATCGACCCTCCTCTAGATCCTCCTCCACCTTCAGCTTCTCCAGCCTGTTCGCTCTGCCGCACCACCTTCACATGGATGGAAGCAGTCATCCATTCAGGAGGTACAGCAGATGTTGCGAGTGGAGCCATCACACATTCACATCCGCCTATACATACTCACATCCTGTTATTTGTTTGTGATGTCCTGTGGTTTCCTTTGTTAACCTCTATGCTAAATAAGCCACATTCAAAAATATACCAGTGTGACCAACTGCTGAGGAGACCCTGTTTGTGTTTGTGATGAGAAAAATGACTCACTTCCCAGAACCAGAATGAGTTAGTTAAAATGAATGTCAGATCAATGAGTGTTGACAGGAGCAGGGGGAAATGGATCAAATTTTTCCAGGCTAAAATCAATAGAGAACTGTCAGCGCCATACATGACACATGCTATGAAAGCTAATAGATTTATTGATTTTTTTTATATAAGAGTATGCAAACAAAATAATGTTATTATTTATTATTAGCTTATTGTTGCATTATTATTGTGAATAAATTTTATATTTGTTGGGCAAAGATTAATCGCATCCAAAATATAAAGGTTAGTTTTTACAGAATATTTGGTGTGAACTGTGTATAATTATTATCTCTATATATAAATACTTTTTTATTTATTCTATGATTAAATATTGCAATATGTACATAATTTCACTACAAGACTTGAATAACTATTTGGAAATATTTTATAATTTTAGATTGATTGGGATTCTGTAGGGGAGTACATCTGGTTAAAATATATGAAAATAATCTACAAGCATAAATGCATGCAATAAAGAGAAAGATACTAATTAAATAAACAGCGTTTTATTGTTTTTTGATGAGTTGAACTGTATTCAGGTGTACAGTAAATAAATAATCAAAGATAAAATGATCCTGCACATATTTTTGTTTTATAAATAATTAATTCGTTATTAATTTGTCAAAGTTACAAACGGTACAATTTCTTAGGTCTGAACGCTTTTAAAACCCTCACAATCACAGGCTTCAAGCACACTAACGAAATTATAAATTATAATCCAGACTCAACATGGCTGATGCGATATATTGTGTATTATGTGTTTGTGTGTGTGTGTGTGTGTGTGTGTGTGTGTGTGTGTGTGTGTGTGTGTGTGTGTGTGTGTGTGTGTGTGTGTGTGTGTGTGTGTGTATATACACATATATATATATACAGTTGAAGTCAGAATTATTAGCCCCTCTTTGAATTTATTTTTCTTTTTTAAATATTTCCCAAATGATTTTTAACAGAGCAAAGAAATTTTCACAGTATGTCTGATAATATTTTTTTCTTCTAGAGTATTCTTATTTGTTTTATTTTGGCTAGAATAAAAAGAGCTTTTAATTTTTTTATTAAACATTTTAGGGGCAATATTATTAGCCCCTTTAAGCAATTTGTTTCTCGATAGTCTACCGAACAAACTATCGTTATACAATAACTTGGCAAATTACCCTAACCTGCCTAGTTAACCTAATTAACCTAGTTAAGCCTTTAAATGTCACTTTAAGCTGTATAGAAGTGTCTTGAAAAATATTTAGTGAAATATTATGTACTGTCGTCATGGCAAAGATAAAATAAATCAGTTATTAAAACTATTATGTTTAGAAATATGTTGGGGAAAAAATCTTCTCTCCATTAACAAATTGGGGAGGACACAGGGGCCAATAATTCATGGCGGCTAATAATTCTAACTTTACCTGTGTGTGTATGTATACATATATGTGTGTGTATCTGTGTGTTTGTTTGTAGTTCTATTATATTTTATATAATTAATGCAATATTTAGTTTAATCTAAATAAATATACACAAAAATGTTTTACTAAATGAATACTAATTATACTATTTTATTTAAATATTACATAAATAATTTGTAATGTTTTATTTTATATAAATTTTATATACATATATATATATAATTATATATATATATGCAAAGTTTCAGAGTGCAGCCAACAATAATACAAAGCTCCTGATTTTGATTTTCAGCAGCTCACACTGAACAGGAGCCGCCGCCTGTCACTCCCTTGCACTGGGAGTGAGAAAGAAAAGGGAGTTTTTGTGTTGCATAACCATTAAACAAGATCAATGTATCCTTGTGTGTTTGTGTGCGTGTTTGTATGTGTTTTACAGAGAGAGAGTGAGTGAGGAAAGGATGGAAATGTAATGTCAGGAGGAAGGAAATTGGTTGCTCAACAATAAAACTGTAGTTTCCTCCATCTGCATCTGTCAAGCTCCTCCTCTTCTCTCACTTGTTGTTGTTGTTGCCGCTCTAGACTAACTGTACTGTACGTGTGTTTATTGCTCTCTTTCACCATGAGGACTCTGTACCGGCTGAAGTTGGTCAGTTCTCCAAATCTGAGTCAGCTGGGCAAAAGTGAGAAGGCTTCACTGGAGGAGAGAGGATCAGGTCCAAACGCCACATGGAACAGGTTAGCGGGTGTTTAATAGGCAGCTCATTTCTTAACTGAGATGCATGTTTATGTCACTAAACTGGGCTGTTTTTCACATCCAAAACAGTACTATAGAGGAGTATATTTTAATTTATAATTAATAGGTACGTTTTATTAGATTTTTTTTTTTTTTTTTTTTTTTACAAAATAGTTTTTTTTCTCGTCTTTCAATTTTTGTTTCTCCCCTCAATGTACAACAATCTTGTGTTTTATTGTTGTATACTTATACTAAATATGATATTGTTTTATTAATATGTTTTCATTGTATGCCATTTTATAGAAAAAATAAAAGTATATATATAACTGTTGTATATAAAGCATAAAATAAAATAATACGTTTTTTTACTCACTAAAATTAATTTTAAAACGAATAAAAAATATAATTATGGATAAGTTTTAATTTTACAATTAATAATAATATATTTTAAAATAATAATATTTTATTAATTACAAATTGACTGTTGTACTGTTATATTGACTGTTATAGCTGATTTATTTGTTTATTTGTCTTTACATTGTTTTATTATTTTAATTATTTAATCAAGTCTTTTATTGGTCTCATTATTGGTTGTTCGCTTATTGGTCTTAATTAATTATTGGTCTCACTTTGCTCCAATTCAAGAGCAAGGTTAGAGGTTTTTTTTTTTTGCCCTACTCTTCTGATGTATCGTACTTCCGTTTTTTAAATGCTACCTCCTGTGACCTGTCTTTCCCTGAAAATTGTAATGTTTGTGTACGGTCGGGGGGGGTTCAGTTTTACTATACAAAAGTGTATGTGACAAATAAAGGCCTGATTTGATTTGATATTTTGCTCCCTTTTTTTACTGTAATGCATCTGTTGTTTTACTCTTGTTTGTTTGGCATCCTTATTACTTTTCATATTTAATTAAAATCCATCTGTTTGGAAAAAGTGATCTTATAAAAAATGCCACAAGGAACAGGCTTATACATATGTTTTATCTGCATATCATAAACATTTGTGTCTGTCATTTTATTGCAGCATTCACAACGCAGTTATTGCTGTTTTTCAAAAGAAAGGACTGGCAGACAATGAACTCTATACACTCAACGAAGGCGTGAGGTGAGAAAAAAACAAGATACTGAGCTAATGTTTATTTTCATAAAAACAGATAATGGGTTTTGTGAATAATTAATTTGTAGCATAATAAAGCTGTCTATGTGCAGCCGTGTCTAAAATGAAAAATGTCTGAGGATCACATTATCAGCACTGAACAGTTGTCAGAGGACGCATGGTTTCAGTTTGCTGTTACGTAACTATTAAAGTTGTGAAGCAATAACAACCCAAAAAGATGAAAAACACACTGTATTTCACCCCAAAATGTAAGGAGCTATGGTTGATATGTTTATCCTAATTAAGTACGTTTTCCACTCATTATCATTATGGCAATGTGTTTTCACTTTCCATTTTACTTCCTAATGTTAGAAACCTTATTTTAAATATGTAATTCTTATGTTTATGCCAGAATTGTATATATTTTTATAAGGATATATTACCAATAATTTATATATATTAACAATAATACAGATATATTACAGATATTAACATTCATAGCACAACCTTGAAGTACAAGTGTGTGTGTGTGTGTGTGTGTGTGTGTGTGTGTGTGTGTGTGTGTGTGTGTGTGTGTGTGTGTGTGTGTGTGTGTGTGTGTGTGTGTGCGCGTGTGTGCGTGTGCGTGCGTGTGTGCGTGTGCGTGCGTGTGTGCGTGTGTGTGTGTGTGTATGTGTGTGTGTGTGTGTGTGTATACATACACACACACACATGCTGTATATGCATATTAATAAAAGCGATGTGTTTGCTACTTTTGTATTTTTGTCATATTAGTTCAGTAAAATCGATGTCCATTAAGACTAAAATCCCCTTTTCTTCCATGTTCAAAATAACACTTCCATCACAGAAATGTGAGGCTCTGCCATCTTGGTTCTGTCTTTTCCTCTGGAGAGCTCATTCTCTCATTAAGTGTAATTCAGCATGATTACACTAATTGTAATTCTGTAAATTAGTTTTTTAAAGCGATTCAATCTAAAAAGTAACCATTTCAACATTTTTAAAAAGTAACTTAAATATTATCACTTAACTTTTTAAGTAATGTGTTATTTTACTCATGGCATTACTTGCGTTAAATGTAATGTTAACCCAACACTGTATGTATGTATGTATGTATGTATGTATGTATGTGTGTATTTGAATAAAAGTTAAGAAAAAGCATAGAAAAAGGTACAATTTTGGGAAAAAAATTCTAAACATGTACTATGATTGAAACCTTTAGATTTGGTAAGATTATATTTAGCAAGGATGCATGACACTGATGAAAAATTACAAAAGATTTTTATACTATTTCAAGATATATTTCAACTAAATATTGTTTCTTTCATCTTTTAACTGTAATTAATGGGAAACCCTGTAAAGCACTGAAATAGAAAAATATCTTGTAATCATTTATTGCAATACATTACACAGCAGTACTGCCTTTACCATTGAGAACTACATGTACATATATATATTATAATTTGTCAATAATTTCAAATCAAAGGTTTGTTCTGAAAAATATGTCTGTAATTTCTCTTTTTTTGTTCAGGCAGCTATTAAAGACTGAGCTGGGCTCATTCTTTACAGAGTATCTTCAGGTGAGATTTGTTCTGATGTGTCATATGTTTGTTAATTGTAAATAAATTAATTTTTTCATTTTTTTATTATCAGAATCAACTTTTAACTAAAGGCATGGTCATTTTACGGGACAAAATAAGGTTTTACGAAGGTATTTCTTCAATTTTAAAAACAACACATTCTGGTACACTTGTACATTTTATTTATGCCCTGTATACAGAATTATACAGTGTTGCACAAACAATGCAGACACCTTTTTGTTTTTCTGGCTGAAATAGGTCAGAAGTTACTGGACTCTTTGGCTGAGACGTGGGACTTTTTCTTTTGTGATGTTCTCACCATGCTTCAAGCCATCTTTCACCCCGTCCAGGTACAGTCCAGTCATACAGTGAAATAAGCTGATAGGCAGCAAGTACAGTAGGGATGTATCTGGAATTTTGACCAAACATTAACATCGTGGTATTTTTGGTTTAAATAAATGTAAAGTGAAAACCACCAATAGATCATAAAATATGTCATATGTCAAATGGGGTCTATACATGCTATCAAAAATGCTGAACTTCCCACCTCTAAAGTTGTAAATTCAACCCTCTATTGTTGTTGTTGAAGCATAAACCATATAAACATTTTACCAGAACTAGATCATCAAAAAAGTTCCAGCATTAACCCTTTCATGCATACGATCACACTGGTGTGATCAATCTTGGCTGGTCCCTGAAGCATACAATCACACCGGTGTGATTAGAACGTTCAGAGTGCACTTCATCAACTACTAAAATTCAAATCTGACAGATGCGCACTGAGGCATAGAAATAGGTGCGCAGAGCTTGTTGTAAATAACAATTTATCCATGCTTTCAAACAAATAACATTTATTTTAGGTTTCAAATACACATAACCACAAGCAAAACATACCATTATAAGGTTTGTAAAATACACACGGATGTATTAGGAGATTGCAATAATAAATAATTTTTTAATATAACTAGACAATGTGCTTTGTTCATGTAGGATACACACTGTTTATGTTACTAAAATATTTTCTCTATTCCTCTCCCAGATAATGTCTAGATGGGATACAGCTGAGGCTACTCGAGTCAATATAGCATAACTTTTGGGACACTTTACAACAAATAATATTTTTACATTACCGTATGGGTTGAGGAAGGGGTAGACGGTAATAAAGTATAATTAATGCTTAATTTATTAAATAATATAAATGCTTGTTAACTTCCAAGCGCAGCTGTATCACGCTGGTGCCCATTACCCATTAGATAACAAATAATATGATCATTATTAAGCTGTTTAAAAGACAAACTATATGTTCAGTGACATTTTTGAGAATCAGAGTGTAAGAACTTTCATAATACAATCAGAAAATTTGTCAATATTTACAGAAAAGGGGAAAAAAAGAAACAAAATATGTGATAAACTTGATGCGTCGCCATGGGAAATTTAGAAAGCAATGAATTCTAAGTAACAGTCACAAAAAAGGAGGGTCTGCTGGAGTATTTAAAACTCACACGTGAAAGGGTTAAATATAACTTCAGAAGATGTTCATGTCCAGTTTCTCACTAATGCTGGGGTACCTAGAACTACCTCTAAATTAATGAGGAGCCCGGAGTCTCATCTCCCGTTTAAAAGTAATAACAACAACAAAGACGAATGACCAAGGAAATAACGTAAAGTCAAATTTATTTGACATTTAATTTTCAAAAAGGAGACAATAAAAAGCTTGCAAAGGTAAATGCCAAAGTAACAAACAAAACTCAAAAGCTAAGTTTTTAACCCTCTTACCTGCACATGAAATTAAACAAATAAAATAACATTCACTTACATCCCTACTAACCACACAACATGAGGAAAATGTTATAAAACAAAAAGGCACCCACCTCAGCACACGTGTCTCCGCATAGATCTCAAAGTCAACACTCAACATTTACTTTCAACAATTTAGCCTAGTAAATACAGCACAGTTTCTACTTCACAACACAAACCAGGAGAGAGGAGACTCTCTGAATGACATTGAAACCTATTCGGAGACAGAGGCGGAGATAAAAGAACCACAAGCAATGCACACACAATAACAAACAAAAAACTCACTACTTAGGATATTTATTTATATTAATATTTTTGTATTATTTTTTTAATTATTTAAAGAAAATACGTAACACACACGGTTAATGCTTTGGTTTATTCAGTTTGAAATTTGTTTTGCAAAGGGAGTGACATAGGCCCCGTTTACACTGTCAGATTTTTTTTTGCCTGTCCCCTTACACGTTCTTTTAATTGTGTTTACACTTGCCATACAATTAATGACATTGCACCTGCGTAAAGGTGGGTTCTATCATCTGCGCCACACTAGCCACGATGAAAGAAATTGTCTTGCTTTTAGTACTGCGAAATATGCGAAGTTCACCCAACCAAGTGATTTTGAGGCGGAGGAGGAGGGAAAGGGCCGTCATAGCAGCTTGCACCTATGGTTTATATATGTGTCTCTGGTCTGGTGGGAGATAATTGTGGCAGGCTTTAATGAGGAGCAGTGGGTCCAAAATTTTAGGATGAGCACACACACGCTTCTCCTTCTATAAACAAACCTTGGAGAAATACCACATTGTCACACGTTTAATGACGTGCAAAACGGAATCCCTCAATATATCTGATCTGCCAGTATACATGATAGTCGCATTGTCACATATCTGATTTATTTCCACATATGAAGGAGGCCTGAAACCAATCTCTAAATATCTGAATGCATGTTTTTTTTCTTTTTTTTTTCGTGTCTACACAGTCATAGAACAGATCCAAACTGTGTCACATATGAGCAAAACATCAGAATTGGATCATAAACGGGGCCATAGTGAATCATATCAAGCTCACATATTGTTAAAACAACGTATTAGCGTAAACTGAAAATCCATTATGACTGAATGTGTGTGTGATGTTAATGTTCAGGGGAAGGAGCCGTCTGTGCGTCAACTGGCCCTGCTGCACTTCCGAAACACCATCACCCTTAACATGAAGCTGGACGAGGCTCTGTCTAGACCACGAGCCCGGGTCCCGCCCTCCATCGTCCAGATGCTTCTGGTATTACAGGTATCAAAAAATTCCAGCCATTCTGTCACAAGCTACACCCAAAAATCATAGCATAGTCACTACAGGACCGGTCATTGCAGCACTCGCGTCATACTGAGTGAGACATTACTCATAAGCTTTGTGCATCTCAAGTTAAATGACTGTGATTATTGTTTTAGAAAAAAGGATGAAGTCAAAAATGTGTCATCTTTACATCTTCCAGGGGGTTCACGAGTCTAAAGGTGTGAGCGAAGAGTACCTGAAGCTGGAGTCTCTCCTTCAGAAGGTGGTGTCCCCGTATCTGGGCACACAAGGACTGTGTTCACACGAGTGTGGAGCTTCTCACTGCTCCTGCTTTATTGGTGAGAGAGGAACCGCATTTTGGACATACAATATTGCATATTATAGCATTGAAATTACATATATTGTTTTTTTTTTTTTTTTTTTTTTTTGCTTTGGTAATATTAGTTTTTATCCAGTTAAAGCTGTTTTTTTATTTTTAAAAATATAAAAAATATATTTATTTACTTGAAGCCATGGTCATTTGCACGATTTTTGAATATAAAGTTCAAAAGGACAGTATTTATTCGTAGCAAAGATGAATACTTCATCATTTTAAGTCATTTTACTTCTTTGACCTCCCGAACACACACACTTAACATCTGTTCTTTTGATATTATTTTGGTTGTATTAGGTTTATATACTGAACAGCTTAAACAGCATAGTCAGAATTACATTACAATTAAATTGTTTCATGTAGAAGTGTGAACAGAGAGTAGAGAAACTCTTCTGGTCATGTGACATTAAAACAATTTATTTAAAAGTTGTTGTTTTTTTTTTTTCATTTTAAATTTCAACAACAACAACACTTTCAAAGCTTTTAAAACAGGGTTTCTGCAGGTTTCACCAAGTCAAAGACTTTTTAATACCTTTTTAAGACCCCAATGAGTACAATTTTAAACTTGGCTAAATACCAATGATTTCTTCTAATGGCCCAGTTAGGCCAGTGGAGAAGATTTTTACTTGCCCCGTTAAAATATTCTAATGAATTATTTCTTGGCCACATATTTTTTATAATGTGTTAAAACAAGCTAACCTTGGTTTAAAATAGATTGATCTGTCCAGGTCAGTGTCCTCGTCACATATAGTCTATAAATACATGGAGAACTTAAACAAATGTTTTTGTAAGGAAGATAATTAAATTATGTTGGTAAATGGAGTCATAAAATACAGTTTTGTTAAGCTTTATTGAGATGGATAGTTGTGATTGGATTGGTGTAAGCCTTATTGGGTAACTTTACATAGCCATAGAAAACTTGTGACCAGTTTAAAATGATTTAAGACCCACAGGTCAACATTTCAGCAAATTAAAGACTTTTTAAGGCCTAAAATGTAGTTTTTGAGATTTTGAAGACATTTTATAACTCCACGGACACCCTTTAAAATGTGCATTTCTTACTGTTAAATAACATGAGCTGTAAAAGAATACAATTAGTATGATTAATCTCATGAATTCCAATCACAAAATTAAAAGGTACCAATACATAAGTGTGCAAAAAGTACCAATATGTAAAGGTTTTACAAAACAACAGATGAAGTACCACTTTAAACATCTCGCAAGAATTCATTTAACCATCAGAACTAAACTACTACAACTAAATGTAGAAAACAACTGTTTATCATTATTAACATCTTGCAACTCTTTCCAGAGCGGCGTTTGCAGTATTGCTGGTCCAAATCTGCAGATCTGCCGTCCACTAATCCAGTAGTTCGCTCCAAAAGTTACAACATCCCCATGCTGACACCCGTGGCGGAGTATGACTCTGAAGTGAGCTCAGTTGGGAGCGTGGGCATCCGGCGCCACTCAGCATGTGATGTCACTTCCTGTATAGAGCACCAGGGCTATTCGGCCCTATCTGTGGGAATAGAGACCAGCTCCACCCCCAGACTCTCACTCGATCACGACCTTATGATGCGAGGAGCCGCGGGACAACCCTCTCTTATATCTCCACCCGTGTTCATCCACACCTCCACTGGGTGTCTACACGCTCCCGACGCCCAGATTGCGTCATCCGAATCAGAAAAGGTGGTTTCGTCACCCCCGAGTTGCTCCTCCAGTCCGGAGACGATTGTAATGCAAGGACTGGATTCACTGGAATCGGATCCCGAAGGAATCTTCATTGATTTTTCCCACTGCCGCTCTGATTCTTTCGGAACGAGCAGGAAAACAAGCTGATTGTGATGATTCCATGATTATTATCTACCACTATTTTCTGTGAACTTGTGAAGTAGCTATGTTACGTGTTATTTTTTAAACTGGAGTTTTTATTCCAGCTTTGCGCAAAAACGACAAGGCTGCTTTAATGGGGAGAGGACTCGATTTAAAGTGATCTTTTTCATAACGTTCTAAAACCTGTGGATGAGTTTTTGACATTTTCTACATAGTTTTTTCATAGACGATAATAGATGTCGAATGTCTTCGTTAATTATTATTATTACGCAGTTTACTGTCTCTCACTTTGTGTTTAAATGCGCGGTTAGATTTACCTCTATTTGGTGAATTTTTGCGAGCAAAATATTATGTATTGAAATTAGAAATTTCACAAAAGATTTTGCAGTGTTGTAGGCTAGAATTGACCAGGTGTCCCATCTTTTTTTTCCCCAGAGTAGTCCTGTATTTCAGCTCTGTTTTTAGTGTCTAGACTTATTATGAAAAATCTAGTTTTGTCCCATATTTAATTCTTCATTGCTGAGCGCTAGTAGTAGTCATCGTCATCTAAAAACAACCTATTTAATGGTAGTCAGTCATGTGATAGTATACTTTAAAGAACAAAAGTTGCAGTGTGTGAAGTTGCAGTTTCATCCATCGTCAGTAATGTCTCATTTCCAGTGAGTGGTGCGGTTCAGTACAGTACGTTATAGGTAGTGCCAGACAGAATCTGCAGACATTTTTGGCAATTTCTGCACAAAATTTTGTAAAAAATCTCCAGATTTATGTGGAATGAGTATTGCAACTAAAAACTTAATATATGAAATTAATAAAAAATAACTTTTCAACTTTTATTAAATGTTTGCAATGCAAATCCAATTAGATCCACTTATTAGGTTAACAAAGTCTCTCATATAATATATCTACTAAAAGACAGAAAATGTTACTATACAAACTGTATAGTAAATAAATCATAGGAACATTTTTATATTAGTCAATAATATTAGTGAAATTGATTTAAAAACTGAATAAATATAAATGAACACACATTTACTCAAGTAGATAAAAAGACTCAATAATTCCGTGTGGGCCTAGTTATGGGTCGCCCAGTACTTTTCCTCGACCCTTACTCAGTGAGTGTGATGTATGCCAGAAAGTTTTAATTCATTTCATTGTGATTATTTCTCTAGCATCAAGAGGAAAGGCATTCTGGCCATATCGCGTCAAGTTCATGATTTCAAATATAGATGAGTACCAATCACACCCAAATAAAGAGAGGAAGCAGCGCGACTTACGCTTTCCAAACATTTACATGCGACATTTCAACAGCCCCGTAAACAACAATAGAGGACATACAGCAGATCCTCGTCTTGCATGTGGCTGGTTGTCACAAGAAGTCGACTTTATTTGAGCTTGGATCAACCATGTTTAATTGCTGCTCGCTGGCATTGTATTATTACAGTATTGTATTTTGGCTGCGTTTTTAAAAATGCAGCTTCCTGTGTTGTGTTATTGGTTGTGTTGTAAACCAATAGCATTCAGCAGCGAGTCTAGCTCCACCCTTTTGTTATTTTACTGTTGTGCTCGGTGCCCTTATGAAAGGGTCCCAAAGAAGTAGTATGGTACGCTGTTATTACATCTGACAGTAGAAGTAAAATAAATTAAACCATATTGTACTGTACCGCTCAATGGAAATTAAACATAACCGAGAGCATAGAGTCATCAGATGGAGAATTGATTTGCTATAGTTATAGCTGGATAACATGAATAGATAATAGAAGGTATGTTGAAAGAAAACATACAATTTCCGGACATTTACCGTGTTTCATATAATGGATCACTCTGTGTTTAATAAAACACTTTAAAAAAACTACATTTAACTTTATATTTACCTCAGCGGAAAGTAAAATAACACAGACAATCTATGTCGTTTGTCACCCTATGGTGTCAAGATTATTATTATTTTACACAATATATAGGCATGACGCAATACACTCCTCATTGTGTTTGCATAAAAATGAGGCAGAGGTGGGACATAGACAGTTTGTCTTTTCAGAGAGTCACTTGAAGAAAACATAATTTACTCAAGGTGTTGTTTAGCATTTTCTTGATGACTACAACCAGTTTCAAAGAATTAGTCCAAAACATCTTTAATTTTCAGTAATGTTTAACGACGCATCTTTTTTCCTTCTCTTTTGGCTTCTGTCCACACGGAGATGGCTGTTTTGTTTATGAATTCAGAGCTTTTCAAAAAATCTTTAAAATAACATTGTTTCCTGTTGGTGTAGACTGAAATCTGCGAAGCAGTCATGTGACCCATTCAATGTTGACGTTTTACTGCCATTGTTTTGGCTGCTTTTCAGTTTGATACCATTGTTAAATCTTCAGATTTCATTTCTTCAATTGGATCTGTAATTGCCGTGCAATTTTCATATTAATATGAATTAGTGTACACATAGCCATGGTTTCAAAGCAAAGCTATAAACCACGCAGCTACAATGACAACATAAAAAGGTGCACTTTCTCAAATAGCTACTATGAAGTCTGTGGCTGCGTCCGAAACCACCTGCCACTCAGTAGGTACTGCATTTAAATTTAAACATACTATTCGGCTGCTAGAAAAATACGTTCTATACAGTATGAATGCGAGTAGGATGAAGGGAACTTAGATGTAATACATCCGACATTTTGTCACGATCATTTGACCTCCCCATGTGAGTAGCGTCGCTTCACTCCCATTCATGAATTCTCTCACAGCGCATCATCGGATAGTGTAGCGTGCATCGGATGCACACTTCAGAATCTCACTGGAAGTAGTAGGTCATCCTGGGTACTTCTCGCAGACTGATTTTCGAATTTTTTGAATTCGGACATCCTACTCCGCTCGCATTTTTTTTTTTTTTTTTTTTTGCGTACTATTTATTATGGAAGTATTCGATTTTGGACTAAGTTAATGACTACAGTTTTACCACTCTTTGTTGTGTGCTGCAACCTACAGGAAAACTAGTAATGTTAATAAATACATTTTGAAAATTTTTGAGACAAGATAGGCTAGTGCACTTCAGACTGCAGCTATTCTGACAATTTAACTCTATGTAGCGTAATTTGCTGTGTGTTAATCAAAATTAAACATTTTGGTCTAAAAGTGACTCGCAAGAATTCACCAATTTGATCGCACTTTAAGTGAGCTTAACGTAATATAATGTGCGAAGGCGACAGAATCACTAAAAGTAGAAATATTGCTTCCATTTTTGTCGCTCTTGTGCACTATTTATTATCATAGGGCTTTAAACGAACTACATTTAGTGCTTTAAATCATTGGCAATCTGAGCTGCACTCTTAATGGTATGGAATGAAATGATTCTCTTTAAGTTGCGCTAAGGATAATACAGTGCAGAACATTGTACTTTTTGAAAATGTTGTCTGGCTTTCATGCTTTTTATGTGGTGATAATGAGCTGCCAGTGAGTGAACAGGGTTTGATAATTGAATGTGTTAACAAATATTTCCTTTTAGTTAGTTAGTCGATAATATAGCTTAAATAGAGAGAGGCTATGTTAGATGTAACTGGAATACGAAAGTTGGCTTACTGGCAATAAAAATTTTTTTTATAATGTGATTTTTATATCAAATGGTGTAATTTAAAAATATTCTTTTTAAATTTAGGACATAATTTAATGGGCTTAATTGAAAAATGTTTATTTAAGAAAATGAAATTGAAAGCGTAAAAATCCAATGGTGTAAAAACTGTAAGGTACTTTAAAGAGTTTTTTTTTGTTGTGATTTTTGTTTGTTATTACTGTGTATGAAATCTTTTTAACTGATCAGTTTCTCTGTAGTTTTATAGGAGTAATTTGAGCATATCTTGCATAGATTTTTAAACGAGCAACATTTTTAGACATCTAAAACGTTTACAGTGGTACTTTAATACCTTGCACTGTCATTTATGAAGTCTGTACTTTGTTTCATACTGAATTTGTTATCAGCTTTCATGTGTGCTGCTGTGGACAACCTCAACAAAATCGAATTTGTAGTAAAATACTTTTATGCTTCATGTTTACGAGTGTTTCAAAGTACAAAAGGGAACTTGTGTGAACGGCTACGTTTTAAAATGGTTCGGCGATTCTGTGCTTGATAGAGTTGAAAGTAATTTTCATTGATATGCGGATTACATGGGGGTTTGGCGGTGGAGTGGGGGGTCTGACCCCCGCTAATTACCGCTTGATCACATCTACATATGTCTTAAAAGCAAAGTAAAATTAGATTTATTTGACCTACAGTATCCTCAATAGCTAATCGGAGGTGACTGTAGAACAGAATACACTAAATTTATAAATCACTGAAAAATTTATTAGGTTTTATTATTATATTAGATGTTATTTAAAAATACATTTTTATAACGCATATGTTTTACAGAAACCAACACAAACTTACGGAAAAGGTTGACCCCCCCTATCTATGTATAATTTGCATCTTGTTGATAACAATTTCTTATAGATAAACAGGTTTACATTTGAAGGAACCGTGAAAAACAACCTTTAATTTATTATTTTTGGTCGATAACGTTTGTTGTGACCTCCTGAGGCAGAAGCAAGATTCAATTCCTGAGTCGATTTGTTCTTTTGAACCGAACATTTTCTTCAAAATCCAGCTGAAGGGCTTTAGAAAATGATTCTTTCGAGAATCATGTGAATGCGATACTGGAATCTATTGACTCGCCGACTCACTGAACCCATTTGTTTAGCACATTTGGTTTGACCCCTCAATGGGTTCGATGTAAGAACGTTTAATACCCTAAATATCAGAATATTTATAAACAGTAACTTCATACCAATGTATATTTACCACCTAACTGTTTACTTAACAAACAAAACTGATTTATTTTAGGTAATACGCCTAACATTGGCGTATTAAAATGGCGACCATAAAATGTATTGTTTCATGTACGTTAAATTCAAATGAATTCTACAATTTTTACAATTTTTGGGGAAATACAGAAGTTTGGAAATAAGAATTTTTAAATGAAATTGGAAAAGTCAACCCAAAACACTTTACAGTAAGTACACTCCCAAAATAAATGGTTTAGAGTTTCATCATATTGAGTACAAAATAAGCATTTAGGGGAAATATTGTTATTAAATTTAGCTAGTTTGGTATTTATTGGATAGCAATCTCCTCATCACCAGACCGCACATCACAGAGAGAGAAGAAAGAGTAATGAAGCCAATTATGATATGGGGATGGTTAGGAGGCCATGATGGACAGAGGCCAGTGGGTAAATTTGGGCAGGATGCCGGGGTTAAACCCGTACTCTTTTTCGAAAGACATTCTGGGATTTTAGGGTATATGCTAAAGCATGCTAATAGGACTTTTAATTTGCCAGTACCTGGCTAGCGCAGACGCTACATTGAAAATACTGGGGTAAAATAAATGCTCATATTATAAAGATATGGCGGGGAAAATGTAATTTAATGCAGTGCTTCTAGTACAATCTGAGAACCACTTCATATCGGATATCACTCAGCCAGTGGAGATCGCTGATTTTTAAAGAAAACAGACCTTAAAAACGTGCAGACTTTTCCTTTGGCATACAGTTCGCCGGAAGCGCTTAACCCTGCCGATTCTGAAGGGCGAGTGTGAGTAAAAGGCCTTTTGTCTCGTTTTACGCTTGAACAACGTAATGAATGCCAACGTTTATTTAACTGAATGTATTTTAATTACATTACAACATGAATGCTGTAAAAGGAACCGTATAAAATGGAAAAAACTCACAATAACCGGTCAGCGGAAGTTTATAAGTATATGGGAACAACACTAGCTCGGCATATACCCAATTATATTCATCTGTCTCCATATTCCACTGCATCCCAAAATATTACACAGCACCAAAAATGTCAAAAATATATATATTGAATATATTTAATATATTTTTGTGTACGTCAGACGGCAACTCGCCGTGACGCAGATTCCAGAGTCTGTGTGCTCCAATCAGGTGAGCCCTCTTCAGCGCTTGCCATGACAACGAGATAGCAGTGACCTGCCTTGTAAAAATTTGCATCTGCATTCCTATAAAGCTCATGTGCTCTCTGTCAGCGTTGTCAGTTCGCTCGTGTTGCTGTTTGTACTTGACCAAGGTGAGTTCAATACCGACGGTACGAGTGGAGCCACGCCGATCTCACGAAGTCCGCTTCGTGAAGCTTCACTCGGGCCCGTCTGTGCTGTAGTTCCTTGTGGTTTGCGTACATAAACGTAACATCGCAAGGAATATTACGTGTTTGTTGCTTGAAATGTGCCGCCGAGCAACATCCAGTGAATACTGGCACGGCCTGGCGCCCGGTCTTCTTGTGCACTCCCTGGGGCGAGGCGGCCTTTGAGCCCTAGGCAGGGAACAAACAACCCCCGAGGACCCTCAGGGAAACACGGGGGGCCGGTAGTGGGACCTCGCTGCGAGGGTTATGGTGGGTGGGAGTAGCGAGGCCCACTCATCGTCTATTTTAAACTATAGTTTCAAACTTTAGTTTACTATAGTTTGAAATAGACACCATGGTAACTGTTATGATTTAAATTTATGCAAAGAGCTTAGAATGACCAAGAGCAACAGCCCCGGATTCCGCCGTTTTAAGTAAAGGCAATCGGCCGTCCATTGGATCTCATTGCTGTCGCGATGGAAAGCAGCTGCTTTGTTTTTATTTAATTTATTCAAAAAGCGCGTTATTGTTTCCCAAATTGTAGAGTGTCGCCTCTTGGTGATTCTATGCTATTTGCTCTTTGTCTGACTGTTGTAATGTTTTGCTTTTTTTTTTCAGCTAAGCTGTTGAGCAAAGAAGGACTATTGAAGACAACTGCGGGTTATATTCACGAGCGTGCGCGTTATAATGTTTCGGGGTTGTTTTCTGAAAGTTTGTCTTGTTTGCATGTCAAACTAAATAAACTATACTCTTTCTAAACACCTGTCTCATGTTTTATTTGTCCTCTACAGCAGGGGTTCCCAAACTTTTCAGCCCGCAACCCCAAAAATAATCATATCAGTGGCACGCGACCCCCATTTTTCAAGGTGGTTGTAATGTAAATATGTAAACGTTGCAGACACAACTATAGGCAAATATAAACATGAGCTTATTGACAACACAAAAATGCAACAATCTATTAGCCATATAATGTTTTTTTAAAGTCATTTATGGATTTAATTACATTTTGCTTTTAAAATTAAAGGCTGATGGCTGATTGTTATTTTTATGTTGTTGTTTCTTTAATGCAACTATTAACTATATTCTGTCGGTTATCAATAAAATATGGTAATTCTTATAGTTTAATAAAATTTATTCGAGTTTTAGATATCACCAAGCGACCCCTTGTCATTGTCCCGCGACCCCCCAGGGGGTCCCGACCCCCACTTTGAGAATCACTGCTCTACAGCAATGCACTGTCATGTAAGTCTGTTGAATGCATTTGTATGCAACATGGTTTGACAATACAGTAGTCTAACAAATAAATGGTTGTTATAAATGTACTTTCATTAGTCAACATTTGCGGTAGGTAATAAAAAGTTAATCAAAGATGTCCTAAGACATAAGGGTTATGTTATGGTTGTTTCATAACTATACTTAATTTTATTCTGTATGATTAAAACCAGCAAATTATACTAAATATTTAACATGTCATGAACTTGCTGTTATTTTAAAATTTGCTTAATAAGATGTCCTAAGACAAGAATGGGTGTTGTTTTGGTTTTATGGCAACCTACATTAGGATTAAGGTTGACTACAGCAGGTATAGGCTACATACATCATAGGGAGTTTTTTTAATGACCCAAATCAAGTAAAACGTCTCTTACCTAAGTACTTTTAGCCTGCAAAAGTCACATTTAAGTATATAAAATACAGTTTCCAACAACAAAATTTTGTCTTGTGAAAAAGACCAGTGTGGTGGTGAGAAAAAAAAGTAATATTAAGTTATATATATTTATAAAAGAAGTTGAACAAGTTGTCACAATATTTAGTCATTAGATTATGTGACCGCTAGATGGCGCTCAATTAAAAGGAGCGCTACCCTGTACTAAAATGGCGGCTCTATTGACGCATTCCTTCCAATAGACAACATCAGGGTAGGCGACATCCAATGTATATTTCTATGGGAGCTAACTAGTATTCAAGTCATATCATGCTCAACTCTTATTATTCTTTTACGCTCTTTGAGAGTCTTGGCGGGATTTCAGAATGATATTTAGGCAATTATGAAATAGCAGTACCGTCTGCATTACCATCGTTAATAAATTTCGTAATAGCGAAACTGCATATTGTTATTACTATTAAAACGTATAGCCTATATTACTGCCTTAGGTCAGTAACTTAGGCAGTAATGCAAAGTAATAATAAATGTGAATAAATAGCCTAAATGAAAGAAACAAGAGACCAAAATCAGTCATCAGGTCTAGTGCCCCCTTATGGATTTAAAGTGCCCCCTCAGTTTTGACTTCCTGGCGCCGGGCCTGGTTCTGTTTTATAAGCTGAATGTTTAGATTTTGACATTTAACGTTAGCTCAAAGTATATTTAATAATAGGGCCTACACTATCACATGCTTTATATAAATACGTATTTACGACCTAATTCTACATATAACAAAAATATTTTGTTTTTAATACAAACGAATAAAATATATTATAATTAATACATTATTATGTTACTGTTTTTATGAAATATTGTAAATATTTTTCTTTTTAACAAAATACTTTCTTTGACGAATTAAATAGCATTAAACGACGTGCCTTGGAACCTTACGTACGTAACTATACGTCAAGACATAAAGATTCACTCCGTTTTGAACTGTTCAAAAGAACCGATTCGCGAAAATGAGTCGGACATCCCATCCTTTAAAGAGGGGTTGTTGTTTTTTTAAATAATCAGAATTGAAATTCAGTTTACCAAATATAACGCTCGACATTTTTTTAATCATAAATGATTCCTTTTAGTATATATTTCGAACCTTTTGAACAAAAACACACGACTTTTTCCATACAATAACATCACGCTTGTGAACAGTCACCCTCCCCTTTTTGAATAGACGCAGACAAAGGCTACCGGAAACCAGACTCCATGGTTTTCGCCAAATGGCTGATTTGTATTCGAGCGAAATCGTTTGTTTTCTCAAACCGCGAATGTTTTCTTTTCCCGAGTCTTATCGGCGAGCTTTTTCATGGACCTAAGTTACATCTTTGTTTACTAAACATGCGTCGCGATCTGCAAACAGTCGTTCCGAAGACCCGGCGGTGCGAAAACAGCGTCTACTCCGACGTAAGCTGGCTTTTCCAGTCGAATGAATCCCAAAGCAAGTTTTAAATGCAACAAAACGCCTTTATTTTCGTTCTTGTCGTGCTTTTATTCGAACATTTCCCTCGCATTCTTTGTACATGCGCTCCTCGCCGGCAGTAGAAACTTCGCTAAGCTAACGAGCAGCTCGCAGAAATGGAGATCCACATCTCGAGCCTCTTCCCGGAGATCCTGGCGATGATCTTCAACTACCTGGACGTTAAAGGCAAAGGCAGAGTCGCTCAAGTGTGCACGGCATGGAGGGATGCTTCATATCACAAATCCGTATGGAGAGGAGTAGAAGCCAAACTCCATCTGAGAAGAGCAAACCCGTCACTCTTTCCAAGCCTCCAAACCAGAGGCATCAAAAAAGTCCAGATCCTCAGTCTGAGACGAAGTCTTAGCTACGTTATCCAAGGAATGCCCAACATCGAAAGCCTGAACTTGAGCGGATGCTACAACCTTACCGACAATGGTCTCGGTCATGCCTTCGTCCAGGACATTCCATCATTGAGGATACTCAACCTCAGTCTTTGCAAGCAGATCACTGATTCCAGTTTGGGACGGATCGCGCAGTATTTAAAGAACTTGGAACTTCTGGATCTCGGTGGGTGTAGTAATATCACCAACACGGGGTTGTTGCTTATCGCTTGGGGCCTTCACAATCTCAAAAGCCTGAATCTGAGAAGCTGCCGACATGTTTCAGATGTAGGAATCGGACACTTAGCAGGAATGACCAGGAGCGCAGCGGAGGGCTGTTTGACTTTGGAGCACCTCACCCTTCAGGACTGTCAGAAGCTCACCGATTTGTCCCTCAAGCACATCTCCAAGGGTCTAAACAAGTTGAAAGTTCTCAACCTGAGTTTCTGCGGTGGGATATCCGACGCCGGGATGATCCACCTGTCACACATGACCCAACTCTGGACGCTGAACCTGCGTTCCTGCGATAATATTAGCGATACAGGCATTATGCACCTCTCAATGGGCGCTTTGAGGTTGTACGGCCTCGACGTGTCTTTCTGCGACAAAGTGGGCGACCAAAGTCTGGCTTACATCGCGCAGGGCTTGTACCAACTCAAATCCCTGTCCCTTTGTTCATGCCACATTAGTGATGATGGGATTAACAGGATGGTCCGGCAGATGCATGAGCTCAAGACGCTGAACATCGGCCAGTGCGTACGCATCACTGATAAAGGCCTGGAGCTCATTGCTGACCACCTAACCCAGCTGACAGGGATCGACCTGTACGGTTGCACCAAAATCACCAAAAGAGGACTGGAGAGAATCACGCAGCTGCCCTGCCTTAAGGTGTTGAACTTGGGACTTTGGCAGATGACCGAGGTCAAGGGTTTAGGAGACGCCTCTGAGATCCTACCTTTATACGCCTCCTAAAACTTCCGCTACCTCAGATTTGTTTTAAAGACTCATATTATTAAGACGCACATCTGAAAAGAAAGGGGGCTGTTGTAGTTCAAATTGAATCAGCAATAAAACACTGAGCAGCCTATATAGTCTGAATGATGACGCTTCCCTTGAATGCCTTTTGTGTTGTTGTTGTTTTTCCTGTACTCGTTTAGAGCTTCATATTGAGGTTAAACTAACTTTTATTCTCATTTCCACTGACAAACACACTTTGTCACTGCCTTTAAGTATTTATCCTGAAATACCAGCATTATACTGTGTGATTGGAGGGAAAATGTTTACTGTGGATGGAAAAGCCGCCTGTTGGTTGTTTGGGATTACTCCATGGTAAAATTGAACATATGCAATTAAAACTTTGTTTAAAAAAAAAGAAGAGAAAAAAAGAAGGCCAGTTTGCTTGTTAAAGACCTACAAGATGTCTGTTTATTTTCCTATGATAAATGATTAAAGCTAAAGTTGTTTTTAACTAAATTGTTGTTCATTTGACTTTTTTTTTGTACTGTGTTAATTCTATTCCAAAACCCGCTAACAATACAGAATATTAACTGATATAATATTTCACAATGTACTTTCCCACACCAACATTTGTTAAACAGAAATGATTTTGAAATAAATTTTAAAACTATTATATACTATAAAAATACATTTAAATTGACCAATGTGTGAAAAACATCCAATGTTTTTCCTATCCATTTATAAAGTAACTGAAAGGAGATCACACTTTTTTTAAAAGTCTTTGCTTTACCTCTGATTACATACACAGTAAATAAAATCTGTTATTTTATTTTTTCAGCAGCTGATGTGTCTGGAAAAAAAACTTAACTGCAATTTAAAAAATTTACTTACATTTTAATTTCCAGTATATTTCTGTAATTTACCATCTGTTATTTTACAGTAAATTTCTGTAATTTAATATGCAATAATTACATTTTTTTTAATTAAATGATGATGCTTTTTTAGTGTATGTTAATTTTTCAAAACCAAGATTCTATACCAAAGCTATTACACGTTTAGCTTGTGCAAAGCTGAAATCTTTACATTGTAAAAATGCTGGGTTTCACACAAATCCTTCATGTTGCCCCATCACAAATCGATTAGGTGAACTTAATTGTTTTTGCAAATTTAAGTTGGTTGAACATCAAACAATTAAGCTAAGCCGTAAAAAAAACCCTTAGAAATTTTGTTGATTCAGCTTTTTTTAAATAAGTAGCTTGAAAAAGCAGGAAAAATAGTTTTATGAATCTTAGGTTTGCATTTACTGACACATTTTCAGCATACATACAGTTGAAGTCAGAATTATTAGCCCCCCTTTGAATTTTTTTCTTATTTAAATAATTCCCAAATTATGTTTAACAGAGCAAGAAATTTTTCACAGTAATGATAATATTTTTTCTTCTGGGGAAAGTCTAAAAAATATCTAGTCAAATATTATTTACTGTCTTCACAAATAAAATAAATCAGTTCTTAGAAATGAGTTATTAAAAAATAATATGATTAGAAATGTGTTGAACAAATCTCTCCGTTAAACTTTGGAGAGAAATTAGAAGTTGGGTAGAAAAATAATAAAAGAAGGCTAATACTTCAGGGGGTTAAATAATTCTGGCTTCAGGATTCCTAAAATGCACTGTTAATTATATTAACATTAAACATTTTTTAAAAATCTGTTCACGTTAAAAACTTTTCACTGTTTTAGAGAACTGTATGTGATTATCATTTTAAATACAATGGAGGTCTAAAAGCAGTAATATTTGTGGAAATTTGATTGCAGCTTAAAATGTCTTCTTTTTCAGTATACAGTTGGTCAGAATTATTAGCCTCCTTGTTTGTTTTTCCTCCAATCTCTGTTTAACGGAGAGATTTTTTTTCAACACATTTCTAAACATAATAGTTTTAATCACTCATTTTTAATATTAACTGATTTATTTTATCTTTGCCATGATCAAAGTAAATAATCTTTTACTAGATATTTATTCAAGACATTTCTATACAGCTTAAAGTCACATTTAAAGGCTTAACCAGGTTAATTAGGTTAACTAGGCAGGTTAGGTCATGATGGTTTGTTCTGTAGACTATCAAACATTTTTTTGACACCTATTTACAGCTTAAAATGACATTTAAAGGCTTAACTAAGTTAACTAGGCAGGTTAGGGTAATTAGGCAAGTTATTGTATTACGATGGTTTGTTCTGTAGACTATTGAGAAAAATATAGCTTAAAGGGGCTAAAATTTTTGTGCTTAAAATGTATTTAAAAAATTTAAAACTGCTTTTATTCTAACCAAAATAAAGCAAATAAGACTTTCTCCAGAAGAAAAAAATATTTTCAGACATACTGTGAAAATTTCCTTGCTCTGTTAAACATCATTTGGAAAATAATCAAAAAAGAAACATTTCAAACAGGGCTAATAATTCTGATTTCAATTGTATGTAAAATATTAATCATGTGACACAAAGCTGTTTTTCAGAATGATTTTTGCAGTTTTCGGAGTCACATGATTCTACTGAAATCTTCATAATGATCTGCTGCTCAAAATAGTTCTTATAATATCAATAATAATTATACACTAAAAACTATCTGTTATTTATACGGTTGTAAATTGCATTATGAGACTGTGATCTCTGCTCTGTCAAATTGTGATGTCGAAAATTCAACTCTACAGTTAAAAAATGACTTTTATTGACATTTTAGTAGTTTGAAATGATGTAATGTATAATAACTAATATGCAGAGTCTGTAAAACAACAGAAAATGTGCTGGCAGTTTAATTATCATACAAAAGTTGAGCTGTTCACAAGTGATGCATTATATACACACACACACAAACACACACAGGACATATTTTATATTCATAGAAAGTGTCGAATGATTCAAATAACATTTGTGATATAATGTCCATGATTATTCAGTGAAACAACAAACTTGTTCTAATATGTATTAACAGTATATACAAATATACAGGGATCATACTTCTTGCTGAAAGTGGGTAAAACCTGCAGGTTCAAAGGATACTAAAATAGTATAAAGATTTCAATGGACAATTCATTTATATTTTGGATATAATATAATAAATGGCAAAAATAACTAGAATTTCCTAAGTAAAATATTTAATATTTACACATTCATTTGATGTAATAAATGAAATGAGTGGGTTAAAGTTTTAATATTCATTTACTTGTAATATTTTTTAATCGTTGCAAATAAATATTTCAGAAATTTTATTAGAAAAGTATTGATTTGGACAGGAACAGGACAAGGAAACTTACAAAAACATATCCATCTGTTATAAAATTGAAAATATAAACAAAATTTTGTTAAAATATAACAAAATAAGTGAAAACTTTACAGAAAAAAAATGTCATCTACATTGCTGCTTGTGCAAAACTGTACAATAGACACTTATTTTCTTCTGTTTAGTCCACTTTAACTTAATTGTTTTGTGTTGAGAATAAATGAAGGGTTTTTCAGCCAGTCCTCTTGCAGAATAGCCAGAAGAGTGAAGAGGCTTGGGGAGTCGTGGAAGAAAGTGAAAATGAACAGGGGGTTAGGCAGTTGATGAGGGGGATCGGTAAATGAGGTGCCGGATCAGATTTCAGTGGCCACAGCCATATCACCCTGCAACCCAAGACCGGTTACTCACTGAAGCTATAGGGTTGATGGGAAAACTAGGTAGCTGAAGGTGTTAGTGAGGCCAGCAGGGGACGCTCAACCTGCAGTCTTTGTGAGTCCTAATGCCCCAATATAGTGAAGGAGACATTATGCAGTGGATTACGCAGAAACGTAGCACTTATGCTTTGTCTTTTTGCATTTTTATTAACAGCATTACTATTGAGACTTCACTCAGAGAGCCATAACTGTGCTGATACTAACTGTACGATCAGTAGGCATTTCAAAGTAAAATTGCTCTTTTGTTCTATTTACATTTTTAATAAAAACATTTTTGGAGATGTGTGTCTAAATTAAATTACGTTACGCCAAGTGAACTAACTTGCATTCAATAAGATTCAGTGTTTTATTCGCAAAAAAATGACATTACTTTTCATTTAAATAAATATAGACGTCAAATTAAAGACAATCAATTAACTTTCACTTTATTTAGGAGTGTCGAGTTTAATATTAAGTGCATTTAATGTAATATTGACTTGATGTACGATAGTAAAATTGACTTAAATTTCACTTGTGCAAATTATTATGAAGATTTTATCAAGTAAATCTTAAAAGAGTTATTTGTGATCCTTAAAATTTATGACCTAAAACAATCCTTGTTCAACAAGACTGAAACTATTTTAGGTATATAGATTATTGTTGATTAATAAAAAGTAAAAATTATTTATTTATTTAGTTTTAGTAAAGTCAAAATGATTGAGATGGTCACACAGTTTCCATGGTTATGGCTTTAGTACACTATATATATATGTATATATAGGGGTTGGACGATGAAACTGAAACGCCTGGTTTTATCCCACAATAATTCAATAGTATGGTGCAGGGCCTCCTTTTGCAGCCAAAACAGCATCACTTCATCTTGGAAATGACAGATACAAGTCCTGCACTTTGGCCAGAGGGATTTTGATACTATCTTCCTGCAAAATAGTAGCCAGTGGCCTGGTGATGCTGTTAGAGGATGCTGTTAGAGGAAAACATTTTTGACGCGCTCCTCCAAAACACCCCAAAGTTGCTCAATAATATTTGGATTTGGTGACTGTTCAGGTCATGTTTAAATTCACTTTCATGTTCATCAAACCACTCTGTCACCAGTCCTGCTGTGTATATTGGTGCATTATCATCCTGATACACAGCACCGCCTTCAGGATACAATGTTTGAACCAATGGGTGCACATTGTCCTCTTGAATCGTTTGGTCATCCTCAACAGTGATGAGCCCATCTAGCACAAGTATTATGCTTAGGGAATACCATGATATTGCAGCCCAAACCATCACTGATCCACACCCATGCTCTACTCTGGGCATGCTTCACTTCTTTGGGGCTTCTCCACACCATAACTCTTCACCATTATATGGGACTCATCAGAGAACAATTTTTGTTTCACATTGTCCACAGCCCAAGATTTTTGCTGCTATCAGCATTGAATTGATGTTTGTCATTGGCTATCCGCTTGTTAAGTGTGACATCATGCGAAGCGGCTTCCGGGTCCAAGCGCTCTATTCAACTGAATGGGGAGACTCATGAAATGGTAATAATAAACATTTACACAGCGATTTAAGGCTTTCGAAAATCACGATCGCAATATCCTAGCCTAATATCCGATGGCCAGAAAGTGATTATTTTTTATAAATTGTAAAATTTTTGATATTTTGGTATGCAGCAAGCCCAGAGATTGTTGCGAAACAGTATTACTTACGTCACAAACACGTCACCACTTAACAAGCGGATAGTAGCCCGGCTATATATATATATATATATATATATATATATATATATATATGTATATATATAATTTTTAATAATTCCAACATTGAAAGTAAGAATGTTTTAAATAGGGCATAGGGGCATAAGTGGCAATAGAACAGCCAGAATGTTTCAAACTACAGCGAGTGCTCAAGCTTGCGATGCAGTTTATGAATGTTCGTCGGAGCGACAGATTTGGGAAACGGCAAATCAACAAATTATGTTTGTAACAACAGAGAAAACGACGGAGAAATTTGCTTGATGGACAGATATAAAGATAACAGAGGGAGACTGAGGGAGAGAAGATATAGATAAATATATATATATATATATAATATTTATATAGTTTACTGTAGTAAAGACTAAAGTATACTATGGTAATTACTATTAGTTCATGATAGTTATTAATAATACTACATTATGTAGCGTAATTCAATAATGAAGAGTCGTAAATATATATACAATATAATGTTTCTTTTTGGGTGACGCAGTGGCGCAGTAGGTAGTGAGTCACCCAAAAAGAAACATTATATAGTATATATGTGTGTGTGGATGTTTCCCAGAGATGGGTTGTGGCTGGAAGGGCATCCGCTGCGAAAAAAGGGGCTGGATAAGCTGGATAAGTCGGTTCATTCCGCTGTGGTGACCCCAGATTAATAAAGGGAGTAAGCCAAAAAGAAATTAAATAAATGAATAATGCTTTTTACTAAATATTTCCCTTTACCATAAATCACCAGGGAGGACAGGGGATACGTCCCCCTAACTTTTAGAGACAGACTATTTAGAAACAGGTGATTAATAATTATATGAATCTAAAACAGGGGTGTCCAAATTGGCCCTGGGGGGCCGGTGTCCTGGAGAGTTCAGTTCCAACCCTAATCAAAAACACCTGAACCCGCTAATCAGGCTCTTACTAGATATAGAACAGGGATGTCAAAGTCAATTCCTGGAGGGCCGCAGCCCTGCACCGTTTAGTTCCAACCCTAATTAACCACACCTGATCAAACTAATTGAGTCTTTCAGGTTTGTTTGAAACCATACAGGTAGGCTAAGTGTGTTGGAGCAGGGTTGGAACTAAACTGAGCCTCTATGTTTTATGGACAGTTTTATTGGTCACTAAGTTATGATCGACTTGGATTTAAGTTGATTTGATTTAAAAATGAAAATTGCAAAAGTAGCTTAGATGTAGCTAATCTATTTTTGCCAAGCAGCTTTTAGCTTAGCTTGCTACATTTCCAAGAGGGTATCTTTTAGTGTAGTTAAGTTACGTATTGAGTAGCTAATAGCTTAGCTCTCAACATTTTTCAAGGAGCTTGCCTAACACTGGCTAAAAGTACTTCCACCAGACCCAGAGATCAGCTGAATTAATTCAAAAATGGTTAAACTCAACTGTTTTCCTCTGGGTGACTTGTAAAATCAGCTTATTTCTTAAAAAGCAGAGTGTCTCTTAAACTAATATTAAGTAATGGAACCTTAGTGTAAAAGTGTGGCCATATTTTTTTTTAAATACAAAGAAATAAACCATCTCCGCTGCTTCATGAGTAAGCCTCGTCCTCATATTTGTGCTGTTGAAGCATCACTTGAATGTTTCAACAGTTTGAACTTGAAGCCTCCAGACTCTGCATATTCTCAACTATTTTTAGTTAGCAACTCTTTTGCCAACTCTACTGTTTTCTGGTGGCGTGAATATTCCTGTACTTGCACGTCAGCAGCTGTTTGAAGGTGTTCTTAAAGGTGACATTGCACAGCGCATAGCAGGCCGGGTTAACCGTGCTGTTTATATAGCAGAGCCAGTAGCCAAAGATCCACACTGTGTTCGGAATACAGTCCGAGCAGAAAGTGTTGATGAGCACCATCACATTGTAAGGGGTCCACGTGGTTGCGAATGCCACCAAAATGGCCATAATGGTTCTTGTCACTTTCTTTTCTCTGGAGGAGGAACTCTTTCTCTTTTGAGAATGTGGACTGATAATCTTCTGCGACACCAGACTCAATCTTTCCTTCCCATTTGTCATGCCCTGACTTTCGCTGTTGACCTTATATGTGTTTTGCAGGTCTTTCTGGGAGGCCGTTTTGAAGCATGTGAATCTGACCCAACTTTCTGTGGCCAGTGAAGCTGATTGGTTCTGGCGAGCTCTAATGTCACCGTTGGTGCTTATTGACACGGCCTCGTCATCCCGCTGATTTGATGATGCAAGCACACTTCCGGATATAGAGTCATTCTCACTGTCCCGCTCTTCTCCTGCAGGTGGGAACAATGATATTTTTAGTCAGGTATACAGTTGAAGTCAGTATTATTAGCCCTCCTGAAATATTCGCCCCTTGTTTATTTTTTTCCCCAATTTCTGTTTAACCGAGAGATTTTTTTCAACACATTTTTAAACATGATTGTTTTAATAACTCATTTCTAATAACTGATTTATTTGATCTTTGTCATGATGACAGTAAAAAATATTTGACTAGATATTTTTTAAGACACTTCTATACAGCTTAAAGTGGCATTCAAAGGCCTAACTAGGTTAATTAGTTTAACTAGGCAGGTTAGCATAATTAGGTATAACCATGATTTGTTCTGTAGACTATCAAATAAAATAAATAGCTTAAAGGGGCTGATCATTTTGACCTTAAACTGTTTTTTAAAAATTAAAAACTGCTTTTATACTAGCCGAAATAAAACAAACAAGAATTTCTCTAAAGGAAAAAATATTGTCAAACACACTGTGAAAATTTCCTTGCTCTGTTAAACATCATTTGGAAATATTTAAAAAATAACATTCAAAGGTGGAGCTAATAATTTTAACTAATTTTAACTAATAATTTTAACTAAATCTCATATTATTTAGTTTATCTTAAACTCTTTGAATAATAAATAGAAGTTAGCTTAGTTCTGTATTGTTTCGTTTATTTTATTTAAACATATAAATATAATATGGTAGTACAAATGCTAACAAGGATTTCTGCAGAATAATTTGAATGAACAAAAATGTAATTTGCTTTAACATTAATTTAATTTAAATGTTAAAATTTTAATTTAACATTTATTATAGATAACATGTTTTTCCTAATTTATTAAATTATTTTGGCACTTTAGAGATTAACCCAATACAATCTATCTATGTACAGTATACAGTATGGGAGAGTATTTATATAAAACACCTTTATGTAATACAGTACTTTTTAAATAATAATGAACATTAAAAAGTATAAAAAATGTAAAAGAAAATGTTTTAATAATTTTGTAAAAACATTTTCAAATGTATATTTAATATGCATTTGTTTTATTAATTTATTAATTTCATTATTCAAATAATTATGTAATTTAATATCTTTGCAAGCAACATTTTGACTCATTTTTATATATATAATTGTAAATATTATTTTTTTCATGCATAACATGCGTTTTAAATGGGTCTTTATACACTTTTTTTGGATGTCATTTCTATTTTTTTTGTACTTCTATATGCATTTTATGTTTTTTTATTTTGTTTCAAATCTACCGATTTAAATACCCTTTTAAAACTTAAAAATTCAGTTTCTTTGATAACAAGTAGTTTGATTACTTTTTTCTAATAATTTGTCATTTGACAACCACTGATCTCTGCCCAAATAAAAAAATACTATAGTAATGTATAGTAAATACTGTTTTCATAATTATTTTCCCTCATGTTAAATTGCAATTATTTTGAATTTTGTTCCCAATTTCTGTTTACCGAAGAGAAGATTTTTTGAACACATTTCTAAACATTTCAGTTTGAATAACTCATCTCTACTAACTGTTTGTTTTGTTTTATCACAGTAGATAATATTTTCAAAATACTTTTATACAGCTCAAAGAAATCATTGTATAAAGATAGTTTGTAAAGATAGATGGTTTTAAAAAATTAAAAAACAGTTTTTATTCTAGACTTTCTCCAAAAGAAAAAGTCGGAAATACTGTGAACATTTCATTGGTCCAACAAATATCACTTGAGAAATATTTGAAAAAGAATCAATATTTCACAGTATAGCTAATAATTTTGCCCTTAACTGTAATTTACTATAGTATTTTTCATGTGGGTGTATAGAAAAGTACATTGTGAATTTTCTACAAAAGTCACCCAGGTTTGACACAATAATTAATGATTAAACTTGAATTGCTACTATATCACACACTTGCCTGTAGTGGTATCTGAAGCGCTCTGCTTACGTGAAACCATTTCCTCTCCTTCCTGAGTTGACTTCCTATCCATATTTCTCTCATTCCCGAGTCCAGCCTGACCTCCATCATTACTGACTCTAGAAACTCTCCGGTTGTCTCTGCGTCTGACACGGCTGCGACTTGCTTTGGAGATCTGCCAGTAGAGGATGGTCATGGTGATCACCGGCAGGTAAAAAGCAGCAATGGCGGTGCCAAAAGTGACCACAGCGTTGGAGAAAAACTGGATATAGCACTCGCCTTCAGGAACTGTCCTGCTGCCGGTGATGAACTGCCAGAACAGAATAGCTGGAGCCCAGAGAATGAATGACAGGATCCAAGCAGCGGCAATCATCATTCCTGCCATCTTGTGGGTCCGTTTGACTGGGTAACTGAGAGGTTTGGTGACACAGAAATAGCGGTCAAAGCTGATGATGAGAAGGTTCATAACTGAGGCGTTGCTCACCACATAGTCCAGAGCCAACCAGAGGTCACACACCAAAGCTCCTAAAGGCCAATGACCGGTCACAATGTACACAGTGTAGAGATTCATGGAGAAAACGCCAATGAACAGGTCAGCGCACGCAAGGCTGAACAGAAAGTAGTTGTTGACCGTCTGGAGGTTCCTGTTGACCTTGATGGAGAGCATGACCAGCACGTTGCCAATGATTGTGATCAAGCTTAAGATGCTCAGTCCGAGAACAATGAGAACAAACTCCACTGGTTTGAACGGACCGTCTTGGAAGATGTTGGTCTTGTTAGCGTGGCTGGAGCTTGGAGAAAGCGTTAAGTTGAAAGTCTCCATCTTTCCTTACCACAATACATCAGAACCTATAGGATAGAAAATAATACTATTAGCCTCTTTTTAGATTTGTGAAAGTTAGGATTTAGGTAAAAAGTCCCAAAAACTAGCAACCTAGCAACTCACTCACTCGCAATATGCTTGCAATTGAATAAAAACACTAGCAAATGCATAGAATTGTAGCTTTTATTGCTAGTTCTACAAGGAAGACCAAATGTAACATAACTCATCACGATAACACACAAGAAGTATATAAGCTGTCCATTCACTTCATTCACATGGTTACAGATACTGACGCAAACATTCACCTACTATCCTCCCCACCAAAACCAGGTTTGCCCTGTCTAGGGGGGTTGGCTACACCCCTGCCTTCTTTCTCGGCAGTCATAGCTGGATCTAAAAGTTCCCAATTCAAGCTACGGACTGGGCCTACAGTAAAGAAATCCTATCTTTTTGTGATTGATACTTTTGTCAAATTATACTCATCAAATAAATGTAATTTAGTAAATTTATGCCCCTGGTTTTTCTGGTAGAAATGACATATACGCTTTCGGATGACACGTTAAACTGAGGTCCTGAATCTCTGAGGTCATTAAAAAATCCCAGGATGTCCTTCGGAAAAGAGTAGGGGTTTACCCCCGGCATCCTGGCCAAATTTGCCCACTGGACTCGGTCCATTGTGACCTCCTAACCATCCCCATATAATAATTGGCTTCATTAACAATTAAGCAATTTGGTAAGCCTTAGCACCTCATAGCAGCAGAATATAATTGCTCAGAGCACACTAGCAACTCCACAGCCTTGAAGCCTAGCAATGGGATTAAAACGATAAGTAAATACTACAACTGTTTATCAGTAAAACAAAATCAGTGGGGATACCTTTGCAACCGCATAACATCAAGATAAAACCATTGAGGACACCTTAGCAACTGCATACCAACAGGATTAATATACTCACATTCCTAGCAACTGCAAATCTTCTCAGATACCAAGCATCTGCATAACAACAAAACAAAGAGACTGCATAAACAAAACCATAGCAATGGAATAAAAAACATTTAAACACTGTAGTAACCTCTAAAATGCTTAGAACATCATAGCAACTACATCCTAGCAACAGGATAAAACCACAATCACATCCCTAGTAAATAACAGTGGGGGGAAAATGTGCAATTTGTGTATGCGTTTGAAAAGGTAACATTCTGTAGTGTATTTAGTTATTGTTATTATTCTCATCATGCATCAGGAATACTTCAACTTCTCATCATTCAGAGGAATCACAAGACAAATTAATCTACTCAGCCAATCAGCGTACTCAAGAAAAAATAAACATATAAAGTAGTGACTGCAAGTTGAAGGAAAGTAGTGGAGTAAAAGTAATGTACTGATACAGCACTAAAAATGTACTTTAGTAAAAGTAGTTTATATTACTTTTTATTATATCACAATTCCAGAGGAAAGATACTACTTACAATATTTGTAGTTTGTTACTTTACGCCACTGGTAAATACAGTAATGCAGTAGTACAGTAATAGCAATGAGATAAATTCACTCAGATCCCTGGCAACTACAAAGCAACATAATAAATTCATTAGACTGCATTGAAAATAAAAACCATTTAAACTACCTAAAAAACATAGCAAAATTTCTCTGGCCCAGATCTGGCCCACACAATCAGCTTTTGCTTGGCCCACATGCAGCAGTGAATTACTGTACATGATTGGACCATGTCTGGTTCCCATACAAGCAATCCAAACATGGACCATATCTGGGCCAAGTCTCTGCTAAGTTATTAACCCATAACTAGGCCTGATCTGGGCCAGATATGCTGGTGTGACATGACTGCAATGAGACTGATAAACCCGTGAAGAATTTCGCTTTATGGAAGTGCTTTTATCTTGGATTGACACGATTGGTACAATTTATTTTTTACTCAATTACAATTTAAATGAATTTTAAAAGTGGATCAAGATAGTCCAAGTTTATATGGTCCACATATTTAACATCAGGGCCAAATACTACATTTGATATCTGGCCCAAGTTTTATTACCTTAAAGACGGTGCCACTTCTGCCAAACATGGGCCATGTTTTAACCAAATCTGAGCCAGAATTATTTGCTATCTAGGTACAAAGCAATGGGATAAACCACTTGGAACTGTAACAAATGCATAGCAACAGAGATAAACACTCAGAACATGTTTGCAATACTGGAAAACACTCATTCACCCGAACTACAAATCCCATAATGCCCTGCAGTCATACACTGGTTTACATACCTGATTCCTCCTGATTCACACCTGATTCCACTTGATTCAAGTCAAAGTCTCTCTAAGGCAAGTTATTTCACTCTGTGGCAATCTTTGAAACGCCTCTTTTGAATGGGGAAACATCAAATTCTCCAAAATTGCTTGCCAAGCTTACGGTTGAATTTCATATTAGGAATCACCAATAAAACTAAACAATAACTGTCCCTTTAAGTTTCATTTCTAAACGTCCAAATCCCAAAATCTGCAGAAACTGCAAAACTCACGTCTGGTCCGAGCCCCTCCCCCAGAGTATTGTCAGTTTATAGTGATCGATGATTGGCTCCTGTAATTGTAATCGGGGCTTTACTCACCATATTGACAGATACACTTGTCCCTATTCAAAAAGATACGAGTCACATGTCTTGTGTATTTTGTAGTCTTTGTTTAAGTCCACCCTGATTACACACAGCTGAAGGACATCATCACTATATTATCACTACATGGACTAAATATACCCCACTCAAACACACATCCAGTGCTGAGTCTTATTATGTTGTAGTGAACATTTCTAAATGTTTTTCTTGTTGTGCCTTGCCATGTTTGCCGCATGTCTTGGCCCTTTTGCGTTTTTCATCGTTTGCTCTTTGAACTATTAGTGGTGGGCAAAGCGAGGCTTTATGAAACACTCAAACAGTCTAAGCAAATGTGTTAAAGTTTTGAAACGTTTCAAAACCCGTCTCATTTTTATGTATTGCTCTGTAACAGCGTTAGCAAAGAAACAGCAAATTGATTGGCTTTACCCCACATTGTAGAGTTGAGGCTTCAAATGGTTTTCAAAACACTTACATTCAGGATCTCTTCACTGTGTCGAAACGTCAATTTCACGTCAGCCATCCCTATGAATCATACATATTACTGTCTGCTCCTGTACTGAACCTTGCCTGCCTGACAATTGCATCCAACCCGTCATCGGACACCAGTTCGTTACGAACATAGCAACAGGATAAAAACTTTTAAACACCCTAGCAACAGTATAAAAAATTTAAACACCCTAGCAACATACAAAACAATGGTATATAATTTGGATTTTGTTGGTAATATTCTAATTTGTTCTATATATTTTGTCGCAAAACTACAATTATTTTGATGACATTTTAATTTTATTATTTCTATTTGATTTTTTTCTGAATATCATTTTTGAGACCACTTTATTTTTTGTCTTTTACTGTATTAAAATACATTGTACACTAGGCTTTTTAGTGAGTACCAGTGCTTTTTCTTAAACGCACAAAATCTATGTGCAAAAGACCATTCCTGATTTTATTGTTCAGAATATGACATCTTGTACCATGTAAAGACAACTAGAGTGTATCTTTGCAGATGGAGTCTGTTTGCCAAACATCATTCTCAAACAGAGAGTTCATCTGGATTGTTTTGTTGGTCTTGATGCTGCCAGATTTCCATTAAGGCAAAGGAGAGCAGCATCACATTGATGGGAGTGATAATGCTGCAGAGAACACATAACTGACTGTGATATGATCTCTGAGATTGTAATGTCGCATGGAAGAATGGACTCTGATAGCACATAGTCTTATTTACTGTAGCCAGGAAGGTCTGGTAAGGGCCATAAGCTTATTACCTTTAGCAGGACAGCATGTACTGTACTTCATTCTTCAGTTTGGACCAGGACCAAAAATGCCATTATGGACATTATGGACAAAGTATATTTGAATTTAGGGCTGAGCTGTGGCACAGTGGGTAGCATGTTCGCCTCACAGCAAAAAGGTCACTGATTCAAGCCTCGGCTGGGTCAGTTGGCATTTCTGTGTGGAGTTTGCATGTTCTCCCCGTGTTCGCATGGGTTACCTCTTGGTGCTCCGGTTTCCCTCACAAGTCCAAAGACATGCGGTAAAGGTGAATTGGGTAGGCTAAAATGTCTGAGGTGTATGAGTGTGTATAGATGTTTCCCAGTGATGGGTTTCAACTGGAAGGGCATCCACTGTGTAAAACATGTGCTGGATAAGTTAGTGGTTCATTCCGCTGTGGCAACTCCTGATTAATAAAGGGACTAGGCTGAAAAGAAAATGAAGGAATGAATATTTGAATTCTTTAAGAAAATGGTGCTAGTAATTATGTGGTTGCTTAAGACTCTTAATGAGTTGTTGGTGGTTTAAATAGCTTCTATATTGAGAATTAGAGAGAATTAGTTGGCATGTAGATGCAGTGCAACTTCAATTCAACGAACGGACCATCAAAATGAAGGTGACCAAAAATATTTAGATACCTTAGCAACAGCATAGCAACTGGATAAAAACTCAGAACCAAAGTAAATGCATTACATAATATAAAATATTTAGGCACCCTAGCAGCAGAATAAAACATTCAGAACACCATAGCAACTGCATAGTAATGAAATAAATCAAGCATGCAACATGTTCTGAAATGATACTTAATGTACCTCAATGTACTAAATTAGGATTCCTTAGCAACAGGATACTCTAAATGCTGCAGGAACTGCATTGGCATAAAAGAACCCGGGTCCCTAGCAACTGCATAGCAACGGGATAAAACCTCTCAGAACACCTTGGCAACTGAATAGTGATTTAGATTTAGACTCGATATGAAACCACTTAGATTCCTAGCAACTGCATAGCAACAGTAAAAAAACACTGGGATCCCTAACAACTGTTCAACATAAAACTACTCAGTTCCCTAGCAACAGTAAAAAAAAAAAAGACTAGGTAGTTGCTAAGATTTTCTTATTGGTTGTTATTGTGTTTCCAAGGCCTGCATGTCTATCAATCGCTGCTAATAATTTCTTTGTAAAGTCAGACTGGAAAGAGCTATGTAATTGAATACAATGCAAACAGGTTTATGTTGTCCATATAAGTGAGCTAGAGCAAGCAAATATGTACTCTGTTAATAAAAGTTTAGGTTGACTTAGAATGACCAGGGTTGTGTTTTTACTACTGTGCTCATACTCAATGGGCTTCAGACAGTTGTCTTTTTTGTGAAGAGTGGATA